GTGTATGATTGTATTATTTAAATTTTTTTTGAGAAATCACAATTAAAAAGTACCTAATTAATTACTTTTTCACTGAAAATAAGATTTTTGTTAGGCTTCAAAGTTTCTCTAAATCACCTTTATGGGGTTAGCTAAAACCAAACCAACTAACATGGCCACTGTTGATTTTTGGGTAAAATAGTCAAAATGGCAGGTTTATATCGTAATAAACCTGCCTTTACCTGGTAACTCTTTTCATGCATTTTAATATGTAGTTACTGATGACTAAGGCTGTTCCAGTAGACCTTATTTTAAATGATAGATTTCTGCTCTGTGTTATCCCTCACAAAATATTAAGTCATGAGTTCAAAGTTACAGATCAAATCACATATACAGTAGAAGTTTAAGAGGTTAAGACTTTGATCAATGAACCTTTGACAACTTTTTCTGAATCAAGTTTCAAAAGGTTTTGTTTGCTCATTTGGGTCTGATCTTAGATAGTGTATAAAATTAGTCATGTGACTATTTTAGATGTATTTTCATACCAACTTTATTTTGCTGAACCCTTGTCCATTGGTTTGTAGTTGGATCTAGTTCAGCTGGATACCTGGAGCTTTTGGTTTCTGCTCATGGCAAAATTATATTATCCATATCATTTTGTGTCTGGTGGATACATGTTGTTGTCTCTTTGGTTCTTTTTATTATATGAGCTCTTCAACACTTGTAAAGGGGCCTTGTTGGCCGAGCGGTCTAAGTAGTGGGACTACTATATCAATAACCTGTCAACACTTATGTTGTGAGTTCAAATTTTGCACATGGGAAGTGCTCTTGACTCCAATCTTAATTGACTAGGATTTTTAGTTTTCCTACCGAAGGTCCGTGGTTCTCTCAGGGCACTCCGGCTTCCTCCACCAATTAAAACTGACCACCACACATTACTGAAGAGACATTGATTTGTTGAAATGTGAATCTGTTGTGGTAAAGACGGTACCCTAAATGTTATAACAATAAAATACATTGTAGTCTTTATTATCATTTGTCAGTGTATTCATTAGAGCATCACTTTTGTTAAGTTGAAATATTATATATGCAGTGGTATGGAATACTTGTCAACATATATTTGTTTCAGCTAACAGAAGTTCCCTGGGAAAGTTTGTTTTAAACAATGCCATATTATCTGTTCCTGCTGGAACAAACATTCTATACCCTTTATTCCGTAAGGAAAGAATACTGTAATATTATAGAATATTCTTCCATTTGAAACTAATGTTGTAAAGGAACTTCTATTTCATGACATACTAATAGTATGATGTATTTTCCCGTGCTGATACACATGTTATCGATATTTTCTATATTAAAAGTACTGATTTTAGGTAATGACTTCATTAATGGCTTCATTATTATAATTTTAAAAAATGTAACAGTCTTAAGCATGTCAACTTATGGATTAGAAATTACTGAGTCGTTATGATAAATAAGTAATGAGAAATTTCTTTACCCAGATATCTAATTAGTATTAAAACTTATCATTAAAAAAACCTGTTGTTATGTACGGTAAAAAGTCTTAAAACTTATATATAAGTAATATATATATATATATATATATGCCAAAATTGTAAATCTTGTTATAAAGTTCTATTTCTCACAAAAAGACTGATGAAATGGAGAAACTCTTAAGTTTTTTTTGTTTTATGGTCTTTGAATTTTTTTATGATCAACATCTTTTGTTGTTTTTTTTTCAAAATTAAATATGAATTTGAAACTAAAGATTATTGATGAATTATTGTTTATTTGCAGTAGGTGTGAAGACCAAATGATGGTCGATAGAAAAGAATATGAAATAGATTTGATGACAAAGTGTTAGTATTCAGTATTGGCTGATTATGTCTACTGTAAACATGTGAAGTCAACTTTTTCAAGGTAAGTCATTACTATTCCTCACTCAAACCAAAAACTTTTTTAGAAACTATTTGTCTTGATCTTGATATATTTAATTTTTGTCATTGACTTTCTAAAGGAGTTAAGTTGAAACGAGAAATTTCACTTATTCAGTAATGAATTATTTTGTTGGAATTAATTCTTTTAATTTTGATGACCCTAGCCTTTACAAGTGTGGCTGTCATTGATACTAAAATAGGAAATTTGATAAAAGATTTAATAAAAGAAAATAGAAATCTTTTGAGGAGCAAACTACTAGCAAAACTTGGTTAAAGATAAATATATGATCCCTTTGAGAATCATGGATGATTACACCCAACTCACTACCATCAAACACTGCTGCCATCAATACTGAAAACTGGAAATTCTAAATAAGATGAACAAAATGTTATCCTTAAAAGTTATTGGTAAAGGGTTATTTTTTGTGCAACATGTTTGCATGTGTTTTCGTGCTTGAAGATCAGTATTCGCTGTTTTTTGTGCAAATTCGTTAAAAATGTATTTTTTTAGTTTTTTGTTCAAAGTGAAATGGCCATTTTATTTTATATTCTCCTGTGTTTATACCCCCTCCTCCTCCATTTATTAAATGACTATCTATAAAAAAAAATCATAATCTTTTCCATCGATCATCATTTGGTCTTTAAACCTACTGCAAATAAGAAATCATCAATAATCTTCAGATTAATCTTTAGTTTCAAATTCATATTCCTGTAAAGGGTAAAAGCGAGGCGAAGGATACCAAAGGGACATTCAAACTCATAAATCACTAAGTTGCTACCAGACCAAGTAAATAAAGCTCCTACCATCAACTTAAAAATGATGGTTGATGACCTTTTTCATACTCAAAACAGGCTGACTTTTATTCTAAGAATAAAGATTCAATAGAACTGAAAAAGGGCCCATTGCAACTTATTTTGGTAAGTGGTTTTCTTATTATTTTCATTATAACTGTATGGCTTGTGCCTCATCAGAATTAAATGTAAGACAATGGCTAGAGAGTTTGAAAATGAAACTAAAAATTTGTTAAAAATATTCAGAAAAATCCTGTAAAAAGGCTTTGGCAAAATTATAACCAATGATGTCCTTGAGCAATTATTATAAGATATATTACATTTTTTAAAATGCCTATGATTAATATTGTAAGATGTCTGTTTAGTTTATAGATTTATTACTGTAAATCAGGATATTTCCGCAGTTTTTACCGAAACCTAGTGGTTAAATTTTGTTGTGTCAAACTTTGACTCCTTTTGTTAATACTGATTTAATTTTTTCCCAACAGAATTTGTTAATGACTAGTTTATATGCAAAAAAAAATTGTTAAACTGCTGTAACAAGATTAGGATAATAAGTAGATAGACTAAAAATATACATAAAAGACATATTGTATTATAGTAATTGCTATAAATTTACAGTAATGGGGAGGGAAGATCGCTGGAAGTTTTACGTTTTATTAGTTTATGTTTTGTTACTATAATCATTTGATCTTGTAACCAGGCAGTATCATTAGAATTTAATATCAACTGAAATAAATGTAACATACCCTACTAATTACAGTAAACCAATTCATTTTGTGAATACTTAATTTCATGTTCAACACTTTTGGCCGATTTCGCATCAATTTTTTTTTCACGATTTCTTATTTTCTTTACTTACTTATATGAAGGAAGATTTAATATTTATACATTTGCAAAGATTTATATTTGTGTTATTTTCTATTCTTGAAAGATGCAAAAATAAGTCGATCACAATAAAAATTATATTATAACTGTAATTGCTTTTTCCCCATTAAATTATAATATAAATTGTTTAATCATAATCATTACTCATAAGGTTTATTTATATGATACTTGATAATCTTGCATTTTTACGATTTATTTTGGTATGTTTAAATTTAAAACTTTCATCATAATGGCGAAAGATATATTTTAGGGGTACATTTAGGACCAGTTATCACAATTTATGAATTTAATCACTTTCTAGGTGACAGAAAGGAATAGGTATTAAGAGTCATTATCATTGATGCATGAAATTTGGTCCTTGAAATTATAAAAATTATGAAATTCTTCAATCCTTTAAAAATTATTTTAGTTTTTGTCTTGCCTTGACAGAGTCAAAATGTGAGATATAGGTATGCTGTTTCCCTTGGGGGCTGCGTTAGAGGCAGTTGCATCAACAATGTATTACTTTGTGATTAGGTCAGCTTACGGAGAACCGAAAGTGTTAGGTCAATGATATTTGGTATACAGTTGAATTAGCATTGGCTCATCTCATTTCCGTGCAGATTATTTGGCCTTGCCCCTCAGTCATGGTCTATTGACTTTGAAACTTTTGCTTAGTTAACATGTTAAAGTTTGTGATAAGGTCAGTTTAAAGGGAACCACTTATGATAAGTCAATGATATATTGTATGCAGTTGTACAAGCATTGGCACATATCATTTCCATGGAGATTATTTGGCCCTGTATCTTCAGTCATGGTTCATTATCTTTGAATATTTTGAATAACTGAAATATGTTAAAATATTGTTATTTTAATTTCAACATTTGCATTTTACAATCAAAATAACAAAAACGTGAGATGTATCTCTGTGTTAACAGTTTATCTTGATAAATGAATGGAAACCATATTACAAAAGCATCAGATATGATGTCACTGTGATAAAACATGTTAAAATTGACATATTGTTTTTGACGAAAATAAACATTACCCATGTCCTATACCAAAAATATATTTTTAAACATCTGCATAAGAGACATCTTGTCGTTTTAGGTTAGAACTTGGTTCTATTTTGGCAGTTTTTGCAAGTTTGCATTAAAAGCAAAACGTTTAAAGCTCTTAAAGACATCTGAGACTAAATTCAAAAATATATATTATACTGATATCTGATAGACTTAAGTCTTGCCACTACCTGAAGTAAGTCATCCTTTTAATCTTAATATTATGTCATATTTTGCTATTGTGTCCCAACTAAAGAAGAAAATTTGTTAAAGGAACCTACCACATTGTCATTTTCCCATTTTGCTCTTAATCTGAACTTAACAATAATTTTTAAAGGCAGTTTTTGTCTTTTATAGTGTCATATTTGTCACCGACTCCAGTCAAGAGGTTTTGGCAAACTGGTCAAACTAGATTATTCCTCTGCAATGCTAAACACACTAAGGTATGTTATTCTTGTTAAATGAATTAAGAAATCTTTTTTGAAATGATTAAGTATTCCATGCAGTTACTACTCTTTGATCAGAGATGTAAATAATCAATATTATTTCTTCAAAGTGCTTAATTACCTCATATTGTTAATCTGAGTGAAAAAAAAATTTTGATTGCTAAATGCATTCTTTGACTGTTTCAGGACATAGTCAAAGTGTGTGTTTTATTTTTATTTAATACAGGAAAAAAGTTTAATCGATGTAACAAAAATCCTTAATCACAGTATTTAATGTAAATGGATTGAAATATAAACTCAATAATTTTTCATTTCTTGCCAACTTGTTGGACTAACTGATATGTAAAATATTTTGCCATTAGATAAATGAAAAATACTGTTAATCGTATAGATCTTTTATAAGGAAAACAGTTTTAGTTATTAAATCAATTGCTGTATTTTAAAAGGAAAAAAGAAAGTAACATGCAGCTTTAGCAAAGTACTGCAGATTCATTATTATTAATTGTGGGATACCAATTTTCATTGATTTCATGTCTTCAGATGAACCTGCATATGAAGATTTGTTCAATGTCATGTGGGATTGTCTTGATCTGATAATATATTTAATTTTTTTTACTTAGTCATAAAATCAAATAAAGAGCAACATTGGTAAAATATGAATTTTCATCATTATCAGAACTACATTACTTTGAACTAGCGATGGACGTATCCTATGCTTATAGTGTGAACTAGGTATGGACATGTCCTATGGTTAAAGTGTGAACTAGGTATAAATATGTCCTATGCTTATAGTGTGAACTAGGTATAGATTCATCATATGCTTATAGTGTGAACTAGGTATGGATGTATCCTATGTTTTTAGTGTTAACTAGGTATAGATTTATCATATGCTTATAGTGTGAACTAGGTATAGATGTATCCTATGCTTATAGTTTGAACTAGGTATGGATATATCATATGCCTTTAGTGTGAACTAGGTATAGATTCATCATATGCTTATAGTGTGAACTAGGTATGGATGTATCCTATGTTTTTAGTGTTAACTAGGTATAGATTTATCATATGCTTATAGTGTGAACTAGGTATGGATGTATCCTATGCTTATAGTTTGAACTAGGTATGGATATATCCTATGCCTTTAGTGTGAACTAGGTATAGATTCATCATATGCTTATAGTTTGAACTAGGTATGGATGTATCCTATGTTTTTAGTGTTAACTAGGTATAGATTTATCATATGCTTATAGTGTGAACTAGGTATGGATGTATCCTATGCTTATAGTTTGAACTAGGTATGGATATATCCTATGCCTTTAGTGTGAACTAGGTATAGATTCATTATATACTTATAGTGTGAACTAGGTATGGATGTATCCTATGTTTTTAGTGTTAACTAGGTATAGATTTATCATATGCTTGTAGTGTCCAATGGTTATAGTGTCAACAAGTACAGTCATGTCATATGCATAAAGAGTGAACTAAGTATGGACATAATATGCTTATAGTGTGAACAAGGTATGAACATATCCTTTACTAATAGTGTGAACTAGGAACGGACATAATATGTTTATAGTGTGACCAAGGTATGGACATATCCTATGGTTATAGTGTGAACTAGGTATTGACATATCCTGCGCTTATAGAGTGAACAAGGTGCAGGCATGTCATATGCTTATAGTGTGAATTAGGAATGGACATGTTCTATGCTTATAATGGGAACTAGGTATAGACATATCATATGTTTATAGTGTGAAGTAGGTATGGACATGTCATATGCTTATAGAGAGTTGTCTCATTGACACTCATACCACATCTTCTTATATCTATTATAGTGTGAACTAGGTATGGATATGTCCTATGATTATAAGTGTGACTATATATAGCTAGGTATGGACATGTCCTGTGATTAAAGACTTATAGTGTGAACTAGGTTTAGACATGTCATATGCTTATAGTGTGAACTAGGTATAGACATGTCCTATGCTTATAGTATGAACTTGGTATGGGTATTTAATATGCTTGTAGTGTGAACTATGTATGGGTTTATCATATGCTGATAGGTATGGACATGACCTATGCTTATAAGTGTGAATAGGTATGGACATGTCTTATGGTTATTGTCAGGGGTCACCACACTTCAGAATTATAAGGAGAAGTGACTTCTCCCTGGCAGCCAAACAGGGAGAAGTGAAGACCCAACTGGGAAACTTCTGGGAAGCCCCAACAGGGAGACTTCAGGGAAAATTGAAGGATCGTGTTAATACTTTTTAAGAATCAAATTTTCCAAGCATCTATACCTTTTTAGCCCCCGCTGTAGAGGTGGGGGCATTAAGTTTTAACCTTGTCCGTCAGTACGTAAGTACGTACTTACGTCCCAAAATTGGTTTCCGTTCTCTAACTTGAGTTTGCCTCAACCAAATGTTATGAAACTTAGACACAATGCTTATTACCACAAAACACAGATCAAGTTTGAATTTTGGTGGCGTCACTTGAACCGTTCTAGAGTTATGCCCCTTTATAAATGGAAAAATTGCCAAATTTTTAGTTTCCGTTCTCTAACTTAAGTTTGCCTCAACCAAATGTTATGAAACTAATACACAATGCTTATTACCACAAAACACAGATCGATTTCGAATTTTGGTGGCGTCACTTTAACCGTTCTAGAGTTATGCCCCTTTATAAATGGAAAAATTGCAAAATTTTTATTTTCTTCTAAAATATCAAGTAATTTTTATGCCCCCGCAGTAGGGGTGGGGGCATTAAGTTTTACCCTTGTCCGTCTGTACGTACGTACGTCTGTATGTCCCAAAATTGGTTTCCGTTCTCTAACTTGAGTTTGCCTCAACCAAATGTTATGAAACTTAGACACAATGCTTATTACCACAAAACACAGATCGATTTCGAATTTTGGTGGCGTCACTTTAACCGTTCTAGAGTTATGCCCCTTTATAAATGGAAAAATTGCAAAATTTTTATTTTCTTCTAAAATATCAAGTAATTTTTATGCCCCCGCAGTAGGGGTGGGGGCATTAAGTTTTACCCTTGTCCGTCTGTACGTACGTACGTCTGTATGTCCCAAAATTGGTTTCCGTTCTCTAACTTGAGTTTGCCTCAACCAAATGTTATGAAACTTAGACACAATGCTTATTACCACAAAACACAGATCAAGTTTAAATTTTGGTGGCGTCACTTTAACCGTTCTAGAGTTATGCCCCTTTATAAATGGAAAAATTGCAAAATTTTTAGTTTCCTTTCTCTTACTTAAGTTTGCCTCAACCAAATGTTATGAAACTTATACACAATGCTTATTACCACAAAACACAGATCAAGTTTGAATTTTGGTGGTGTCACTTTAGTGGTTCTAGAGTTATGTCCCTTTATAAATGGAAAAATTGCAAAAATGTTATTTTCTTCTTAATATCAAGTAATTTTTAAAATTGGAGTTATCTTCCTTTGTCCATGATTATAGTTGAATCAACTACAATAAATGCTTTATACAATGCAATGTTTAATTTTGACTTCCACTGATAAAACACAGATCAAGTTGAATTTGGGTAGTGTCACTTTAACACCATTATTGAGTTATGCCCCTTTATAAATAAACCTTTACACGATATTCATTACCACAAAACTAAGATCAAGTACAAATTTTTTGTTTCCGTTTTCTTACTTTAGTTTGCCTCAACCAAATGTTATGAAACTTATACACAATGCTTATTACTACATCATACAGATTAAGTACGAAATTCGGTGGCAACACTTTTACCATTCTTGAGTTATGTCCCTTTATAAACATAAAAATTGCTGAATTTTTTGATTTGTCTCAACCAAATGTTATAAAACTTATATACAACCGTTCTAGAGTTATGCGTGTTTACAAATAGAAAAATTGCTGAATTTTTAGTTTCTGTTCTATACTTAAGTTAGCCTCAACCAAATGTTTTGAGACTTACACACAATGCTTATTACCTCAAAACTCAGATCAAGTTCAAATTTGGGTAGCATCACTTTTACCGTTCTTCAGTTATGTCCCTTTATAACTATACGATATGCAAGTGGGGGCATCATCTGTGTCCACATGTGGACACTATCCACATTTATTTAAATTAGAGTTATCTCCTTTGTTCATGATTATAGATGAATCAACTACAATCAATGCTTTATACAATGCAATGTTTAATTTTGACTTCCACTGATAAAACACAGATCAAGTTGATTTTGGGTAGTGTCACTTTAACCATTATTGAGTTATGCCCTTTATAAATCGAAAGATTGCAAAATTTTTAGTTTCCATTCTGTAACGTAAGTTTGCTCCGACCAAACATTATGAAACCTATACACAATATTCATTACCAAAAAACTAAGATCAAGTACAAATTTTTTGTTTCCGTTTTCTAACTTTAGTTTGCCTCAACTAAATGTTATGAAACTTATACACAATGCTTATTACTACATAATACAGATTAAGTACGAAATCTGGTGGCGACACTTTTACTAATCTTGAGTTATGTCCCTTTATAAACATAAAAATTGCTGAATTTTTCGTTTCCGTTCTCTAACTTTAGTTTGTCTCAACCAAATGTTATAAAACTTATACACAACCATTTTAGAGTTATGCGTGTTTACAAATAGAAAAATTGCTGAATTTTTAGTTTCTGTTCTCTACTTAAGTTAGCCTCAACCAAATGTTATGAGACTTACACACAATGCTTATTACCATAAAACTCAGATCATGTTCAAATTTGGGTTGCGTCACTTTTACCGTTCTTCAGTTATGTCCCTTTATAACTATACGATATGCAAGCGGGGGCATCATCTGTGTCCACATGTGGACACTATCCACATTTATTGTTATTTTTCAAAGCATTTTTGCATGAAAACTGCTAAGGTGGTATTTCCTTGCCTTGCCATGCTTGTGGTCTGAATTACATTTGTACCTATGTATGCAAATTGTCAAAAAATATCATAAGGACCATAAAAGCAACGGTTGTGCAGCTAGGTCTGAATGAGTTGAAGATTTGGCATTGGTCAAATTTTGCTGCATCTCAAAGATTTTTTCAAACAAAAGTATGTTTTGAATTGCTCACAATTGTGTTTAATAACATTAAATAAAGAACCCTATAAAAAACAAAGTAATAATCAATTGATAAGTAAGTTAGAATATCTTGAATACAGTTTCCTTGTCTTTCATGGCTAAGATCATAATTAAGAAAATATATTTGTTCTTTAAATTATTTTTGAGAGGAATTCAGAAAGAAAAAACTGTTTGTCACTTGTTGAAAATGTATAGTAAAACTTGTGTTGATTTCAAATCGTGTGCGATTGTTTGCGGTATTTTCATGGAAAAGGTGTTTCCCAGCATCAAGTTGCCATCAGAAATGCATATAAATGATTCTAGAACATTTCACGAGCGTTAAAATATTATAAAATCACAAAAATTTAAATCGGAAAAGTTGTATTTTTCATTACGGGAAATTGAATAAAGAGTGAACTAGGTATAGACATGTCATATGCTTATAGTGTGAACTTGGTATGGACATATAATATGCTTGTAGTGTGAAATATGTATGGGTTTATCATATAGGTATAGACATGTCACATGCTTATAATATTAATATTTATCTGTTTACTTTTATTTTATAGATATGGAGTCTGAAAAGGTTCCACATCCACATCTTGTCCTAGACACAGGACAAGTTCAACAGAATGGTCATATAATACAGAAGTTGGAATCAAGAATTAGACTACTAAATGGAAATACTGATAGGAATGGAAATGACAATCACTCTCATATTGTAAACTTGGAAGGTACTGTATCACCAAACAGTCTTCGTCCAGATACACCGACATCTGCTACAAGGAAATCAGCATGGGAAAGAGCAAGGGACAAATATAAAGCTCAAGAATTAGAATGTAGCAAAAAGAAAACAAAAGTAAAACCTTTTGTTGATCCTGATGAAAAAGTAGAACAGAAGAAATTTCTTAACTTAAGTGGTGTTAAAGAAGTATTTTCATCTAGTCACTTCCAAAATAAGGATCTTGAGCGATTATACCAGCGGTATTTCTTCAAACTGAATCAGTTGAACTTGTGTATTTCTTTGGGATTCATTTGTGTTGTTAGTATAATACTGCTAGTGACTTACTATATTTATGGAGCTATTATGCCGGCAAGAGCCATCAATTTTGGCATTTTGTTTTTTTTGTGTATATTTTTAGAATTTTTATGTAATCGATCATCTTTTGACCAACAGCAAATGCTGATAACCTTGTTCATCATTATTTTGTTTTTCTGTGCATCATGCGTTCTTGTTTCTCTTGACAACTCACCAAAATCAGGATCTGATGGAGTTTGGATGAATGTTATATTCATATACATGATCTACACACTGTTACCTATTAGAATGAGATTTGCATGCCTTACTGGAATCACACTGTCCATTATCAGTGTATCATGTACTGTCAGCTTTACAGCAGACAAAGAATACCGAGTTAAGCAGGTATTTAGAGCTAATTTCCTAATGCTTGTAGAGTAAGACTTTGGTTTGCTTGCTTGCTTTGTTTGTTTAAATGTTTGCTCAATCATTGTACAAAATGTAATTAAGATTGACATCTGCAAACAATATTAATAGGCAACGTTAAACCTGTATACTTCATATTTAGATTTATATTTAGATGCCTAACCTCCAGGATAACATCCAATCAAATTTAAGTATAATGTTTTCAGGTTAAACTCCACCTTTTTATATTGTTTGCAGGTGTCAATCTTAATTACAGTGCTTGAGCAAACATTAATTTATTCAAATTTCACTTAAATTTCTTTTTTTACCTTTTTTGGGGTGTAAATGTCAATGTTTCATTAAGAAAAGTTTGACAAAAATATTTTTTCTCACTTTCTCACGTATTATATTTTATTCATTAAATCAAAACATTTGAAAAATTGCATTTTTACTGAAAATGAGACCAGATAGACTACTGACACCATGATTTTTTTTCAAGAGTTTAGCATGATCATCACAAATCAGTAAGAAATAGCTTTCTCTGTCTCATTTAAACAGTATATTTTGGGATGAAAACATAATATGTCGAAAAAGTAATAAAACTGTAAATGAAAATATTAGTCAATGATCCTTATCTGTTTGGTCCAGTATACATTTTTATTTTTATTGCCCAACTTTACTGATATTGTTCAGGAAGACATGATTAATTTGATGGGAAAAATTATAGCTTTTGATGTGATGTCAGATATTTTCGGTTGAGTTGAAAAAGTTATTGTAAAACATTTTATGACATGTAATAATGGACAAACTTAAGTTTGTGTATTGCATTGAGCACTTTTTTTCTTAAGGTAAAGTATGTTGTTGTTTAGTAACTTGGTGCACACATTTTCTGTTGCAGGGGATTGCAAATGCATTGATATTTACAGCTACAAATTTGGTAGGGATATTCACACATTGGCCAACAGAGTACAATCAGAGACAAGCTTTCCTAGAAACAAGACGATGTATAGAGGCTCGTCTGACAACACAGAGAGAAAATCAAGAACAAGTAAAAAAAAATTTTTTGGTCAGGTTTCCCTTTTGTGGTAAACAATTTTCAATCAATCACAGTAATTCTATTTATAGTGGTTTTCAAAATGAAACAGTCATTTATTAGGATCGAGGAGGAGGCTGATGTGGTGACCAAGAATGATTTTCCCACTTTTATGAATTGATTGATATTGCATTGAAATTGAAGTTATTTCATCTCAGTTCCATGCAATTTTTGAGTCCCCTTTTACATGGCAGACATATCTTGTTGACTTTTTTATGCCCCCGCCGTAGCGGAGGGGGCATTAAGTTTTACCCTTGTCTGCTGTACATCCCTCCATACGTCCATAAGTCTGTACGTCCCAAAATTGGTTTCAACCAAATGTTATGAAACTTATAACCAATGCTTAATACCACAAAACACAGATAAAGTTTGAATTTCGGTGGCGTCACTTTTACTGTTCTTGAGTTATGCCCCTTTATAACTTTATACGCAAGCAGGGGTATCATCTGTGTCCCATGGACACATTCCCCATTTATTTAGTTAGAAAATTGTTATTTGTTATCTGCCTCATCCTTTTTATTACTTTAATCTTTCATTAAATATATACATGTTTCTCAATCAACTTGTGTGTTCAAGTTAATTGCTGCAAAGTGGAAATAATGTTTTCTGTACAGCAGTTTTATTCAGGTTAAAAGGAATTCTAAAAACTGTGGTATAGATAATCTTTTTGTTTTGTCCCAGGTTACTCAGTTACATTTAAAAAGCCTTTTAATTTCTCTTCCAGTTTTCATGTAAAAAATCTACTGATCAAATTCTCAAAGAAAATTTCATTTTATATAATGATATGTCTCAAAAAATCTAAAGCCTACATGGCTTAAACATTGTATTACTGTAAGCAATTGAATACCGAAGGCAAAAATTTCCAACATCTCTACTTTTGTTCTCAGGGTATTGGTATATTTAATTTAATTTGGAGCAGTTAAAGTGAATTTCATGGGATACTGATTACAACTATTGTGCTAAGGACACTGAGGAATTGAAGTAAAGGAAAAGATAAATTACATTTGTCATTGATGGAAAAGACATCTTAGCAAATTATTGCTGATTGCTTACAATGTCTTGTTTTCTGTCTAAATAACAAACGAGCTACAAAAGATATTTGAATCCATTGATAGGTGGATATCCAGTTGAAATTGAACTATAGAAATTGAACTCTCTATTATAGATTGTGAAAAATGACCAAAATGACAAATTTATATTGTTTATATTTGTTTCTAAGGCCATTAAAACTTTATTGGTGATGTATAGTTTTAGATTTTTTCTATGTTAAATACGGTAACACAAATTATAGTATGGATTGAGGTAATGGATACAGTTGTTATTCATAGAGTTATCTACCACCAAGCAAGGGGTGATAGCTTACATGATAAACAGTAGTCCACCCAATGTAAGCCTTTGGTTTTAATGTCTCAAGATTACCTACCTGTTTTTATTGTTACCATGACAACTGTCTCTAATGACTCTTAATACAGTAGTCTGCTAATGAACCTTTACATGGCAGAAATGTTTAATATTAGAAGTAATCTTGTAGTTATTGATTTATATCCCCATTCTCAGAGAAATGTGTTCATCAAAAAAGATTAAAATATTTCTGTTACTCACAAGAGAGATGAAGAAATGTAACTAAAGTTCAAATTATATGAGCTGGCTCAGAATTTGTGATCATCCATTCAATAAATGAGAATAAAGATGTAAAGTTAATTTGTCCATTGACTGATGAAGAAATAACCGGATTTTAGAGAAAGCACTGAAATAATGATTTTCTTCTCTTCTGAATTGTTTCACATTTTGTCATACCAGAAACTTTTATAGGTCACTTACTAGATGGTACAGGTCATTGTTGAAGGCCATATCCTGATCTGTAATTGTTTCACATTTTGTCATACCAGAAACTTTTATAGGCTACTTACTAGATGGTACAGGTCATTGTTGAAGGCCATATCCTGACCTGTAATTGTTTCACATTTTGTCATACCAGAAACTTTTATAGGCTACTTACTAGATGTACAGGTCATTGTTGAAGGCCATATCCTGACCTGTAATTGTTTCACATTTTATCATACCAGAAACTTTTATAGGTTACTTACTAGATGGTACAGGTCATTGTTTATGTCCTGACCTGTAATTGTTTCACATTTTGTCATACCAGAAACTTTTATAGGTCACTTACTAGATGGTACAGGTCATTGTTGAAGGCCATATCCTGACCTGTAATTGTTTCACATTTTGTCATACCAGAAACTTTTATAGGTCACTTACTAGATGGTACAGGTCATTGTTGAAGGCCATATCCTGACCTGTAATTGTTTCACATTTTGTCATACCAGAAACTTTTATAGGTTACTTACTATATGGTACAGGTCATTGTTTAAGTCCTGACCTGTAATTGTTTCACATTTTGTCATACCAGAAACTTTACTATATGGTACAGGTCACTGTTTAAGTCCTAACTTGTAATTGTTTCACATTTTGTCATACCAGAAACTTTTATAGGTTACTTACTAGATGGTACAGGTCATTGTTGAGGGCCATATCCTGACCTGTTATTGTTCACATCTTTGTTCTTTGGTCTTTATGGATAGTTGTTTCATTGGCAATTTTACCACATCTCTTTATTTTTACATTTACAGTAGTTTTTAAGGTATATCCACTGCCCTGATTACATTCTGATGAATAAAGCCATCACTTTGAACAATAATGTTTTCTTCAATTTGTTTTTCTGGAAGTTTCTGCAGTTCAGTATTACGAATAATTGAAGTGTTCTTTGGTAAAAGTTCTAAATTTAGTGATTAATAAACTCCCCTGTTTCAGTGGTTCTTCTGACTTGTTTTTTTGTTGTCAATTGATTTATTTTATCTTATATTTTGTACTAGATAAATATGCTCATGCCTTACTGCAAGTTCAAGATGACTAATGGATGTTGTTATGTTGATCAATTTTGCTGTTTACAGCTTCTGTATATTCAAAGTTTTCAAGATAATTGACAACAGCAATAACTCCTATAAGAGGTCGAATAATGATTTTAGTCATATTAGCATTTTTGTAGATCTGCTACTTGTAATCTAATTTGTTATTTATAGTTTCTGTCTTCAAATTTATTATAAAAAGTCAGAAACGCTGACATTAAAAAACTACCTTCACTTAAGGGCTATAACTCCTATAAGGAGTCAACTAAGGTTTTCAGTCATAAAGGAGTAAGGAATTAAGGACAGGTTTTGGCCAAAGAAAATAAAATTTTTGAGAAATATTTCAAATTTGCTCATAATTTTATGAAATGCATAAAGTCAAGAGATTTTTGATGATATGATGTAACAATTACATCATAATAAGCACCATTTTCATGAAAGCAAAGAAAATTGCAGAGTTTTCCTTCATCATTTTTTTAGTTGAAATATTGTGTGTAGGCAAAAAAACAACAAAATAATGTAAGAGAAGCTTTATTATAACTCTTGACATATTCTCACCAAATAATAATATAAAGTCGTTTTTGGGTGCTCACATACTTTTCTAATCCACTACCTCCGATATATATACTTAAAAATTGATGTAAAACAAGGAAAATCAAGAAATTAAAAAAGTGTACAAATTTGGCATTGTTTGTTGCCATGGTAACTCATTAAATGTGAAATTTATTTTATTTTCTGAACACCTTGTACCTTAGTGTAGTTAGGGTAAATTTTAGAATATGTGTGGTAACTTCTCAATTTGCACTAATATTTGGGCCAAATAAGGACCTTATTGCCCCTACTCCTTGAATTATTTGAATTCTGGAAAGTTGATAAGAAATGTTTGATGAAAGCTTACCAAACTAAAGAAGGTTAGCCATTGGACATGTCTCATTTTACTTTCACTGATATTTAAGTAATAACTAACTAACCCCCTGAGCCATGCATGCATGGCTAACCCTCATAAATTGGGTTAGTTTTCATCATACATTTTTCATCAGTTTTCCAAAATTAAAATTATTCCAGATTCAAATAATTCCTTGTTTAATGCTGTTTACAATTTAATTGATCTATTATAGTTTTCAATATGACAGGCAAAAATTGGTTAAATTGTCTTTTGATGAATTGGCGACATATTCCTTTTTGAACCCCCTCTGTTTACAGAATAAGCATAGACGTGCAGAAATGGGTTCAAATGGATTCATCTTGCCATTTCTTATTCTTCCTTTTTTTTTCAGAATTTCTTCTGCAATTTCAAATTGTTATAAGCTATGATGATTCAAATTATTGTCATGAATGTACAATTTGTACTTAAAAGTACAAAAAGTATTTGACATAAAGGCCATCAGTATGTGTGATACAAATATCCATCTTTTTGAAGTCTATTTAAGCCAAACTAAAACAATCTTGAAAGGAATTATAATGAATGGTCCTTTTTAAAATGACACTTAGATAAACCTCATTTGGTTCGTGTTGTTGATAACAAAAATATTATTGTATTTCAGGAAAGATTGCTACTCTCTGTATTGCCTAGACATGTTGCCATGGAGATGAAAGCAGACATAGCTGGTGCACCAAAGGATACTATGTTCCATAAAATCTATATTCAGAGACATGACAAAGTCAGGTCTGTAATGTTTAAAACTTACTCAGGAAAATGAACAAGTTCATGAAAAGACAATATTAAGTAAAGGTTAGGTCTGTTGGAATAAAAGAGGAACTGGATACAACTTTGCTAGTTTCAGTTTTATAAATAGCATAGTTGACCAAGGTTTACTTACAATATTTAATTGGATATACAGTTCCCCTTGTCATATCTGTACAATGCAAAAAATGGAAAACTAAGAACCAGAGATATAATATGGGCTTTCTCTTTGGCATTACAAAGACATGTTAATAAAATTCATTTCTGACTCTTATTGTTCCAATAAAAACCAGATTTGAACAATATATCCGAATATAGGAAAATGTAATGCATCATCTGTGTTAGATCTCTAACAATATCAAGGAACCTTTACCATAAATGACCCTGTAGTAATATGGATACCTGGATGTAAGAGAACATTTATAATATCAGTTCCTTTCTTCAGCAAACCTCACAAACAACATTTGTTTAGTATGCTTGGTAGAATGTCTATGTCAAACACTCTAGCTACTGTGCATTTATTTATTTTTGTGGGTTCCAATTTTTGTTGATTGAGAAAAAAATTGTATTTTCGTTGATATTTGATTTCTTGGTTTTGCCTAAGTCTGCATACAAGCTGAAAAAAAAATTGATCATTAAAGTTCATGGTTCACCTGTATCTATGAAATACATGAAAATTGGTATCCCATCAATAATAATGAATCTACATTATCCATTAAGACCACCATAACGGTTTGTACCATACAAATACCATAATTGTTGTTGAACATGACATAAGAAATATTGGTTGTTTTGTTGAATACAAGAAGTCGCTACCATTCTTACTACTGTTATCCAGTGTCTGATTAGGAACCGTCTCATGTTAAACCTGTTCACAACAAGACAGAGGATTTACGTTACCATGTAACACAAGGAAGATTTTGTTATATCACACATGATGAAGCTTGTTATAAGGTGTTAATCATATATATATTAAATACATATATTTGCTGAGGTTAAATTTATTCTTTTATCAATATTTGTTTTTATGAACTATATGTTCTGAGGTAATGATTTATTGTAGGTGTTTTTGCTATTAATGAACCCTTACAGATGATTATAGACATTGTGTTCAGCAGCATATAAATAAATGTCCTTTGATTTGTGCAAACAATAGTATTGTAACATGACTGAAATCGACAATCTTCTCATATTACCATTCAATGACAGTTTTCACCCATTTTTGTTTTTTTGCCTTTTATCTTTAGAACTACAATAGATAAGATTAACTTACAAATGTATGGACAAGACTGAGAAGATCTGGATAAAATCTGTTCACAATCTTTTTTAGTGTGTTAAATATGACTTCCACTGTTGCTACTGATTTTTGTCTCGCCTTGACGGAGTCAAAACGCAAGACATAGGTATGCTGTTTCCGGTGGCGGCAACAACAATGTATTAGTTTGAGATTAGGTATAGTTTATGGTGAACCACTAGTGGTAGGTCAATGATATTTGGTATGCAGTTGTATAAGCATTGGCTCATCTCATTTCCATGGAGATTATTTGGCCCTGCCCCCTCAGTCATGGTCTATTGACTTTGAAATTTTTGCTTAGTTTACATGTATTAGTTTGTGATTAGGTCAGTTTAAGGGGAACCATTTGTTGTAGGTCAGTGATAATTGGTATGCAGTTGTATAAGCATTAGCACATCTCATTTCCATGGAGAATATGGTCCTTACCCTCAATCATGGTCTATTGATTTTGAAACTTTTGCTTAGTTTACATGTATTAGTTTGTGATTAGATCAGTCAAAGATGAACCACTAATGTTAAGTCAATGATATTTGGTATGCAATGTATATAGGCATTTGCAAGTCTCATTTCCATGGAGATTATATAGCCACACCCCCTCATCATGGTTCATTGACTTTTAAACTTTTACATAGTTTACAAGTAAATGTTTGTGTTTAGGTTTGTTTAAAGGGAACGACTTATGATAAGTCAATGGTATTTGGTATGCAGTTGTATTAGTATTGGCACATTTCATTTCCATGGAGATTGTTCAGCCCTGTACCTTCAGTCACAGTTCATTGACTTTGAATATTTGCATTACTTACATGTTAAAGTATTGCTATTTTAATTTCAACATTTGCATTATCAAAATAACAAAAAGTTGAGACATATCTCTGTGTTAACAGTTTATTAATGTTGTATCTTTTTATAAGTCAATGATTTAAGTTCCTGAGAAAAATGGAATAGTGTTCAGATCCCTAAGAAACTTATTCCTATGTTTACAATTTGTCTCTCTATGTATTGACAAATCTGACTTGTTGCAGTTCTGTTTTATTAGAACCAGTTACTGGATATTCTGAAATTTAGTATTTTGTTTCTGACAAAATAAAGTTAATTATTCCTTCAGCTACTTTGAATTATTCCTTTTTTCCATTTCATAAATTAACTTTTCCTAATCCTTCTTAAACAGGAATAAATAAAAAATTATGACAAAATAAATGTCAAGTACAATTTTAATGCTCTTCCCATAGGGTCTTCAGAATCTCGTGATGTATCTTTTAAATGTTGCTTAATTTGGTTTAAGGGTAAAAACTGCAAAGCAATCTAAAGATGTGTCATTGCAGATGATAATAAATAAAATAAAATGAAATGTTTAGTATTTTAATCCTTGCAGAACAATATCCTTATTTATATAGTAACACATTTTTCTACATTTTCTACGACAAAGTACCTAACACGAATTTATCTACAACCAAGTATGGAATACCTCATAATTTAATCCAAATCTATCTACAACCAAGTATAAAATACCTCATAACATTATTTACAACCAAGTATAAAATACCTCATAACATTATCTACAACCAAGTATAAAATATCTAATAACATTATTTACAACCAAGTATAAAATACCTCATAACATTATCTACAACCAAGTATAAAATACCTAATAATATTATCTACAACCAAGTATCAAATACCTCATAACATTATCTACAACCAAGTATAAGATACCTCATAACATTATCTACAACCAAGTATAAAATACCTCATAACATTATCCAAATTTATCTACAACCAAGTATAAAATACCTAATAACATTATTTTCAACCAAGTATAAAATACCTCATAACATTATCTACAACCAAGTATAAGATATCTAATAACATTATCTACAACCAAGTATAAAATACCTCATAACATTATCTACAACCAAGTATCAAATACCTCATAACATTATCTACAACCAAGTATAAAATACCTCATAACATTATCTACAACCAAGTATCAAATATCTAATAACATTATTTACAACCAAGTATAAAATACCTAATAATATTATCTACAACCAATTTTCAAATACCTCATAACATTATCTACAACCAAGTATAAGATACCTCATAACATTATATACAACCAAGTATAAAATACCTCATAACATTATCCAAATTTATCTACAACCAAGTATAAAATACCTAATAACATTATTTTCAACCAAGTATAAAATACCTCATAACATTATCTACAACCAAGTATAAGATATCTAATAACATTATCTACAACCAAGTATAAAATACCTCATAACATTATCTACAACCAAGTATCAAATACCTCATAACATTATCTACAACCAAGTATAAAATACCTCATAACATTATCTACAACCAAGTATAAAATACCTCATAACATTATCTACAACCAAGTATAAAATACCTCATAACATTATCTACAACCAAGTATAAAATATCTAATAACATTGTTTACAACCAAGTATAAAATACCTAATAATATTATCTACAACCAAGTATCAAATACCTCATAACATTATCCAAATTGATCTACAACCAAGTATAAAATATCCAATAACATTATCTACAACCAAGTATAAAATACCTCATAACATTATCTACAACCAAGTATAAAATACCTCATAACATTATCTACAACCAAGTATAAGATATCTAATAACATTATCTACAACCAAGTATAAAATACCTCATAACATTATCTACAACCAAGTATAAAATATCTAATAACATTATTTACAACCAAGTATAAAATACCTCATAACATTATCTACAACCAAGTATAAAATACCTAATAATATTATCTACAACCAAGTATCAAATACCTCATAACATTATCTACAACCAAGTATAAGATACCTCATAACATTATCTACAACCAAGTATAAAATACCCATAACATTATCCAAATTTATCTACAACCAAGTATAAAATACCTAATAACATTATTTTCAACCAAGTATAAAATACCTCATAACATTATCTACAACCAAGTATAAGATATCTAATAACATTATCTACAACCAAGTATTAAATACCTCATAACATTATCTACAACCAAGTATCAAATACCTCATAATATTATCTACAACCTAGTATTAAATTACTCATAACATTATCCAAATTTATCTACAACCAACTATAAAATATCTAAAAACATTATCTACAACCTAGTATTAAATACCTCATAACATTATCTACAACCAAGTATAAAATATCTAATAACATTATCTACAACCAAGTATAAAATATCTAATAACATTATTTACAACCAAGTATAAAATACCTAATAATATTATCTACAACCAAGTATCAAATACCTCATAACATTATCTACAACCAAGTATAAGATACCTCATAACATTATCTACAACCAAGTATAAAATACCTCATAACATTATCCAAATTTATCTACAACCAAGTATAAAATACCTAATAACATTATTTTCAACCAAGTATAAAATACCTCATAACATTATCTACAACCAAGTATAAGATATCTAATAACATTATCTACAACCAAGTATAAAATACCTCATAACATTATCTACAACCAAGTATCAAATACCTCATAATATTATCTACAACCTAGTATTAAATTACTCATAACATTATCCAAATTTATCTACAACCAACTATAAAATATCTAATAACATTATCTACAACCTAGTATTAAATACCTCATAACATTATCTACAACCAAGTATAAAATATCTAATAACATTATCTACAACCAAGTATAAAATATCTAATAACATTATTTACAACCAAGTATAAAATACCTAATAATATTATCTACAACCAAGTATCAAATACCTCATAACATTATCCAAATTGATCTACAACCAAGTATAAAATACCTCATAACATTATCTACAACCAAGTATAAAATACCTCATAACATTATCTACAACCAAGTATAAAATACCTCATAACATTATCTACAACCAAGTATAAGATATTTAATAACATTATCTACAACCAAGTATAAAATATCTAATAACATTATTTACAACCAAGTATAAAATACCTAATAATATTATCTACAACCAAGTATCAAATACCTCATAACATTATCCAAATTGATCTACAACCAAGTATAAAATACCTCATAACATTATCTACAACCAAGTATAAAATACCTCATAACATTATCTACAACCAAGTATAAAATACCTCATAACATTATCTTCAACCAAGTATAAGATATTTAATGACATTATTTACAACCAAGTATAAAATACCTAATAACATTATTTACAACCAAGTATCAAATACCTCATAACATTATCTACAACCAAGTATAAGATACCTCATAACATTATCTACAACCAAGTATAAAATACCTCATAACATTATTTACAACCAAGTATAAAATATCTAATAACATTATTTACAACCAAGTATAAAATACCTCATAACATTATCTACAACCAAGTATAAAATACCTCATAACATTATTCAAGTTGAACTACAACCAAGTATAAAATACTTCATAACATTGTCCTTTTATATCTCTGATCAAGTATGGAATACCCCATTACATTATCCCTTTATATCTCTGACCATGTATGGGATACCTCATTACATTATCCCTTTATATCTCTGACCAAGAATGGAATACCTCTAAAAACAAAAAAATCTACAAACAAGGATGGAATATGTCATAACCTTTAACCTATTTATCCACAGCCAAGCAAGGAATGCCTCATAAGAAACCAAACATGAAATACATTTTAACTTTATACTTCTTTATCTACAAATGGTGGTTCTCTCCAGGTACTCTGGCTCCCCCCACTACTAAAAACTGTCCACCATGATATCTAAGGAAGCTTAAAGTGGCAGTAAACACCAACAAACAAACATCTACAACGATACCTAATACAATGTAACTTTTTCTGTATATATTTACAACTAAGAATAAAAGACATTAACATTATCCCTGAAACTTAGTATGACATATATTGTATAGACCTTTGTAAAACATTTTTTAATGGTAATGACTAAAATTTGTGTTTTACAGTATTTTGTTTGCTGATATTTGTGGCTTCACAGCATTATCCTCCCAATGCACTGCTCAGGAACTTGTACAGCTACTCAATGAATTATTTGCTCGTTTTGACCGACTTGCTGCAGACAACCATTGCCTTAGAATTAAGATTTTAGGAGACTGTTATTATTGTGTGAGTGGACTTCCTGACATCAGAGCAGATCATGCTCAGTGTTGTGTGGAGATGGGGCTTGATATGATAGAAGCTATTTCGTAAGTAATATTTTTGTGGAGATGATGATCAATATTGAATAAAGGAGTATCTTTATGTAATACACGTAGTAATGTTTTATGGAGGTTAGTGTTATATGAAGTTTTAATGTTATTTGATGATTTTTTTTTTTAAATTTGCTAAACAACTACTCAATGATAACTTTGTATTCAAACTGAATAATTATATGTGTATTTACTCTTTCAAACTTATGTGTTAGACATGGCTCAATATGTTGTGGGGTAGTTGAAAAGTAAACTAAGTGTTGGTTATAATTATATAGGAGTGTGATTTGTTTAGCTTCCTACTTGCAGGTAAATAAAAGTGACATTTTGATGGAAGCTATTGTAAGAGTTCTGTTAGTTGTAGTTCTCAGCCAGTTAAAGTGTTAAGAATATTATTACCAATCTTTTGAAATTTCATATTACAGTCTTTTCACTGATGGAAATATATATAGATATTTGCCTTAAGGAAAACAAAGTTACTGAATATTCAAAGGTTTTATTAAAAAGACTTAATCTAATGGAAAAGAAGAGATATTGTGAAGTAATCCATGAAACAAAATTCTTCATGCACATAACTAAACAGAGAGCAAAGAAACAGCACTACTATTGGCATTTATTGCATTATTTCAGTTCTTATTTGTTATCTCAGATTATATATTCCTTAATCTAGAATGTGACTCATATTATTTGTGGTAATGAAAATAAATGTGACTTTGTTAAAATGAAATAGAAACTTGTTAATCAGTTCAGGAGACATATAAACCTATAGCAATAAAACGGTAACTTGTACTGATTTGGCATGTCTTAGACATTCAAGAGGAATAACATATTTGGATTAAATTGAGAAGATATTGTTAATATCATTGCACATTTTCTTATTTTATTTTTTCTGTGACTTAAATTACGATTGTCTGGTTTATAGTTGTAGACTGTCACTAATTACGATTGTCTGGTTTATGTTGGTAGACAGTTTACTGAATATTTTACCATAACTTTTTGCAAAAGAGGTTTTAAATTTCCACAATCATACAAGCTACTGACTATGATGAAATTAGAATTCATAAGAATTGTAATATTATACATAACTTATTTTAATGGGTTTACCAAACAATGAGTACCATTTAATAGTTTATTTTTGTATAAATGAAAGAGACGTCAACAGGAAAATTGTCACATCTGCATCAGAACTTGTAATGAGGAAATGATAGTCTTTGTATCATTTACTGTATGAAGCCATAAACAAAGTTGCTCTTTTGTACTTTACTGTACTAATATGAATGGCTTTGTCCTTTCACAATAACAACTGGACATTTTATTCTAAGTTGTAGGCTGAATTCAACTTTTCAAACTGATTAACTGATGAAAATGATTAGCATATTTGGTAGTGAAATGTTGTTAGTATATTAAGCAAATTAAATGTAATAAAAGATGTTAAACCTTTGAATGTATTGTATTCTTGCATTAAGTTTTAGGCTTTTAATGCAATGTATCTTACATCAAACATGGAAATTATAAAGAACATTTTAAAAGTTTTAACTACACCTATAAAGGTCCATCAGACTTGTATTATTTTTTAAAGGGTTCATCAGAAAATCAATAAGGTCAACTTGCAAAAATTAAGTTTAAATGATCAATTGACAAAATTGTTATTTCAGACTTGTGAGAAATGTAACAGGAGCTGATGTTAATATGAGAGTTGGAATCCATTCTGGAAGAGTCCATTGTGGAGTTTTGGGGCTAAGGAAATGGCAGTTTGATGTCTGGTCCAATGATGTGACATTAGCTAATATAATGGAAGCAGGAGGACTCCCAGGGTTAGTATTTAGGTTTTTGCAGTTTCCACTATTAGGCCATGGTTTTTTAATTTTTCAGTTTACACATTTTTTATATGAAAAAGTCAGGTGGGTCTATCGAAAAATAAAAGAAAAAAAATATCTCATAAGACATAAATATGTTTAAAATAAATATATATTTCAGCTCACTAATAGTATTTTTGGTATGCTATTTTGTCATCATTTCTTAAATTTTAGATCCAATTTTATTGCTCAGCTGTTTTAAACATACTAGCATGCCATCGTCATATAATTTTGTAAATAGTGGGTATGTCCACAGACAAACAGGAAAAGAAAAAAACAGCTTTCAGGAAACATGAAAACATGAGATGAAAATTGCAAACACGTGTCACCAACACTTTATCATCTGTGTCAAAATCGAAGTAGACTCATCCACCGAAAGACGAGGATATCAGTTTAATACTTTGTAAGGCAATCCCATATTTGATATCCAACTGAACGAAAACATTTTTTATGCCTGTCCGTACGTACATCCCAAAATTGGTTTCCGTTTTCTAACTTTAGTTTGCCTCAACCAAATGTTATGAAACTTATACACAATGCTTATTACCACAAAATACAGATAAATTTTAATTTTTGTGGTGTCACTTTTACTGTTCTAGAGTTATGCCCCTTTACAAATGGAAAAATTGCTGAATTTTTCATTTCTGTTCTCTAAAGTTTGCCTCAACCAAATTTTATGAAACTTATTACACAATACTTATTATCACAAAACTCAGATCAAGTACAAATTTGGGTAGCGTCACTTTTACCATTCTTCAGTTATGTCCCTTTATAACTTTATATGATATGCAAGCAGGGGCATCATCTGTGTCCCATGGACACATTCCCCATTTATTTTCAATCTATAAAACAAGAAAATTGTAAATTATTTGTTGATATATCTGACCTTTAACTTGATGGCTTTCACCTTTGGACGAGTCCATTTCATCCATGAGATGAAAAATCTTAAGGAATTTATGACAAAAAAAGGAAAACAAACATTTTGTAATGGGTTTAGACAAAGGTTTTTGTTCTGCAAAATATTTTGTGCATGCAACATTTCGTAAACCCACAAATTAAAAATCCCTCGCCTTAGGAAGTTGGCTTGTTTTTCTGTTAAAATTTTTAGAAATTACCTATTTTACAAAGGATACAAATGGCATTGTTATATCATTGAAATATTTTTTCTTATGTGATTGTTTCATACAGAATAACAGTTGTTTCAAAGATCATTTCTGTCTCAATACTTTAAAGTAATTGTCTTTTTACTGTTGAACCAGCAGTAATCTGTTGATCATATGCTTTTATTGTCACATCCTAGAATGCTGTTTTTTTCTCAAAACACAATGAACAACAAAACTTTTCCTGACTGTGTTAAGGCATATAAAATGTTTTGTTCAAATGACAAATTTTAACTGTCATCAGAATCTTGTTTCCAGTAACAGTTATAGATCTTTGTTGAGTCTATGGGCCAAACATTAAACCCAGTCAATAACTGAAATTACTTTGGTGACTTTGTTATGAAAAATGAATGTTATGAGATAACATGAATTGAATTGAACAAGTAAAACATGACTACTTATTTCATATAAGCTTTAAAATTCATATTAAAAAATTGCAGTTAGTCTTTGAACAGTCATCTAATACATTTGTACAGTTAACTCAATTTTGTCTTTTTATTAACAATATTTTTCGTAATTGTTTTAAAAAATAAGGAGATGTGGTATTATTACAAATGAGACAACTATCCACCAGTTACCAAAGGAGGTGGATGTAAACAACTAAAGGTCATTAATTAGATTGATTGATTGATTGTTGGTTGCTTAACGTCCAGTGGCAAATATTTCATGCATATTCAGGACGAGAACAAGTTCACAATAAATACAATAGGTAGGATCTGTAATAGATTAAGGGATTAAGGTCGGAGAAATTTAGACTGCCACGGGAAATGAGGGTATATTGGATAGGGACAGAAATTTAGCCTTGTAACAGGTCACCTACGGACCCCTCAAAGAGTTGTTGCAAGGGTTCTTAACGTGCAAAGAGCGTGGCACTCTCTTTACACGAGGCATCGGATTTAACGTCACCATTCTGACCGGACGTGGCTGCAAATTTGTACATCCCGCACAGCCAAACGGACGCCCCACTTTAGCACGGGTTTTACTGCCGGTCGGAGGAAGACCAATGGTGACCATACTTCTATACCCCAGTCACCCTTGGGGTGGTCATTAATTAGATAAACCATGTTTTCTAAGACTAAAATATCAATTCTTTCACATCCAATAGATTTAGTGTAAAGACATAATAAACTGTCTGAGAAAAGCATGACCTTGTGCCATGCAAAATATAAGTATAAACAGGATGTAGGACCATAAGAGTTCAGAAATATATATAATTTATAGTTATGTTTTAATTTATTAGAAAAAAATAATGTAAGCATGGTAAGTACTGATAAAGACAATATATAAATATCTTACTGCAGTTTTATATTGATAACCTTTAAGAATGAGTTTATTAAAGAAATTATTAAGTTTATATGGATTGTATCTAAATTTATCGGTTATATAAACAACATGACTAAAAAAGAAAGTGATATCCATCTTGTAATAAGGTTTATACAGGTACTGCTAAAATTCCAAACCAAAATCTGAGTACTTGTTGAAAATACAGTGAGTCAATATTCCAACTAAAATAATAGAAATGAGCATACTCTGTCCTTTCACAAAGTTGGTGATAGAACTTAGAAGTAATAGGAAATTTAAATCTTATTATTGAAAATTGGACAGAAGCTTTTGTTATGATAAAAAGACAGTATCCAAAGCAAAATTTTGCAAGTTTTTTTTTCATTTTTCTGTTTTTACTGATAAAACTAATACCGGTAAAAATTTTGTTTGCAGTAAACATTTAGGTACTATCTTGGGTGAATTATTTAGACCACAATAACTTTGTCAAACTTTGATGAACTATTATTAAAATGGACAGAAGCTTCTTCAAGACCAAGAAATGGTATCTGAAGAAAAAGGTTCAATTATGTTTTATTTTTGATTCAGCCTTGCTGGATCTATGTGATCACTATGGATTTGGAGATGGTGCAAAATTCTAAGTTGAAGACATGTATTGAAAACAATTATGTGTTTCTATGACTTGCAGAAACTTTATACACCATTTTAATCATCAACTGCAGACTTTTAATATGTTATTTGTCCTTAAATTAAGAAAAGATTGGGCAAACAACTTCTTTATTTTAGATATACATTTGCATATAGTTCCTTTGTAAATCAAAATTTATATTAAATTGCCATTTATTAATTGATGTGGAAAATGTGATTTATCAAATTTAAGCAGTTGATAAAAATAATGAAAGTGTTTTATCAGTATCTTATGTTCCTGTAAGCCATTGAATAAAATTTGGTTCAAGATGTGTATTGATGTCAGAGTTGATTCCCACATTTTTTTGAAATGCTATTATTCCCATTCTTGCATTTGGCAAATGAGATTATTGATACAATACCAGTATGATGGACAGCTGCCACGATTTTCAAAAAATTACACTTAAAGGTGTAAGTATTAATTGGATTAAACTCCACTCAAATGCAGTCTTAATTGACCACAGTTATTTTAATATATCATGACAGTTGATAATCATAATAGTATTGGGGTCATTAATTTGTGTATTCAATTTATTACACATCTAACTGAATACACAAAATCTTGACCTTACTAGTTGTAAAATCAGTGTCATAATCATCTGACATAAGTCAATAATTATGGTCTTTTTAAGTTACAATTATCAGTAATAAGGTTGAAACAATAAACACAATTGCATAACTCTTGCCTGAGCATTTTCTGCAATAAAATATACTTGTATATTCCCCATTATATTGTTATTTAACAGTAATTGGAATTATCTCAGCATTAGGTATTTGTTCATGTATATATATTTGAATAGAGGAAACGTATTTTTTCCTTAATGAACACCAATTTAGATAAAAGTTAGTTATTTATTTTTGTTGTTGTTGAGAAAGTGCATTTTTAATGCCTCTTTCAGGAAATTATTAAGCCAATTATTATTAATGGCACATAAAAAATATGCTACAAATTTGAAGATTTCCCTTTAAACATTCTTGTCAAAATCATTGGATCTCAAATGTTTCTAAAAAAAGTTGTAAAAAAATTTGACAGTGTCTTCAGTTGAAATACCAAAATAATTTGCATCAATAATGCAAAATTTTTCATCTTTTAGCAATAGAATAGAAATTTTACAGTGAGATTATGGAAATGAAGATAACAAAGTAATTATTGAAAGTATGGTCAGAAAAAATGTCAGACTAGCTACAAAATTGGCTGAAACACAACATCCATGATGCTTTGATTTACTTAGTTGAACTGATAAATGGACTTAGTCTTTGGCACTCAACATTACACTTTTATTTTGACAACAGCAAAGCATGCAAGACACACCAAAATTTTAGTTCTGGCATATGATTACCATAGAATATACAAAGTTATTTTATTTTTAGTCGGGTCCACATAACTGAGGAGACAATGAAACTTCTGAAAAATGACTACGAAGTTGAGGAAGGCAATGGTGCAGATAGACATCCATATCTAAAAGAAAAAAACATATCTACTTATCTTATTGTACAGGAGGAAAATCGTCTTAGTAAGGTAAGGGTCTACTTATCTTATTGTACAGGAGGAAAATAGTCTTATTAAGGTGAGGGTCTACTTATCTTATTGTACAGGAGGAAAATAGTTTAATTAAGGTGAGGGTCTACTTATCTTATTGTACAGGAGGAAAATAGTCTTATTAAGGTGAGGTCTACTTATCTTATTGTACGGGAGGAAAATCATCTTATTAAGGTGAGGGTCTACTTATCTTATTGTACGGGAGGAAAATTGTCTTAGTAAGGTGAGGGTATTAAACAAAAGTCCACCTTCAGAAGACTAACCTCTCAGCAAAGGAAATAGTTAAGATTATCATTTAGTGGTGAATTGTGGTGAGAAGTTGAGTTACAAATAAAATATGGATTGTGTTGACCATTATGATAAACCCAAGGCACCTAACTTAGAGTACTTGCAGTTACTGAAAGCTAGTTCAAATCTATTTCAGCTAAGAAATAAACCATGTTTTCTCAGACTAAAATATCAATCATTACACATTCAGCTGATTTAGTGAAGTGGTGTTATAAACAGTCTGGGAAAAGCATGACATTGTGTAATTCCAAAATATAAGTTTTGACAGGATGTATCCTTGCTGAGTATTATAGGGAAAGCTAGTAACCATGATGGAATTTTGATTTTCTTTGTATTCTTAATAGATTTGATATATGTGGAATATATGTTTTTTTTAGAAAGACATGATCAGAGGCCAAAAGTAAGAAAAAGTGCACAATATTGCATAAGACAATAGCTTTAACTTAAAAGAGTTTAACTGAGGAGTTTTTCAGAACATATAATCCATGCACTATAATAATGCAAGATGAATCAATGACTCTTTTAATGTAGAATTATTATATTTGGTATGTTGGTGTATAACCACAGGATATCATCATGACTGGCATATAACTTTATACCTTGTTTGGCTAGTAAGCTTGTGTTGTCTGTAACTTTAAAAATTTCCACCTCTAAACCATTTTCTATCTTGGAAAATATGGTAATCTGTATGGTTAAACTATGGTAATTTGTATGGTTGAAATATGGTAAACTGTATGGTTGAAATATGGTAATCTGTATGGTTAAAATATGGTAATCTGTACGGTTAAAATATGGTAAACTGTATGGACGAAATATGGTAATCTGTATGGTTAAAATATGGTAATTATAATCTGTGAGGTAAAAATATTGTAATCTGTGAGGTTAAAATATGGTAATCTGTGTGGTAAAAATATGGTAATCTGTGTGGTTAAAATATGGTAATCTGTGTGGTAAAAATATGGTAATCTGTGTGGTTAAAATATAGGCATCATCTTAGGCTGCTTCATGTGAAGAATCATTAAAACCAGTTCTTTTAATATCATCATACGACCGCAAAAAAATGTTTATGGTCGTATATTGGTATGACGTTGGCATCGTCGTCGTCGTCGTCCTGCGTCGTCCTAGGACACATTGGTTTTCGCACTCTAACTTTAGTTTAAGTGAATGGATCTCTATGAAATTTTACCACAAGGTTCAATACCACAAAAGGAAGGTTGGGATTGATTTTGGGGGTTATGGTACCAACAGTAAAGGAATTAAGGGCCAAAAAGGGGCCAAAAATAAGCATTTTTGTAACTTCCAGACATAACTTGTGTGTTAGTGTATGGATCTCTCTGACATTGTACTACAAGGTTCCATATCACAAAAGGAATGCTGGGATTGATTTTGGGGGTAATTGCCTCAAAATTTTAGGAATTAGGGGCCAAAAAAGGGGCAAAAAACAAGCATTTTTCTAGTTTCATGACAATAACTTGTGTGTAAGTGTATGGATCTTTCTGAAATTGTACTACAAGGTTCCATATCACAAAGGGAAAGCTGGAATTGAGTTTGGGGGTAATTGCCGAAACGTATAGGAATTGGGGGCCAAAAAGGGGCCAAAAATAAGCATTTTTCTAGTTTCCAGACAATAACTTGTGTTCAAGTATATGGATCTCTCTGAAATTGTACTGCAAGGTACCATACCACAAAGGGAAGGCTGGGATTGATGATGGGGGTAATTGCCTCAATATTTTAGGAATTAGGGGCCAAAAAGGGGCAAAAAACAAGCATTTTTCTAGTTTCAGGACAATAACTTGTGTGTAAGTGTATGGATCTTTCTGAAATTGTACTACAAGGTTCCATATCACAAAGGGAAAGCTGGGTTTGAGTTTGGGGGTAATTGCCCTAAACGTTTAGGAATTTGGGGCCAAAAAGGGGCCAAAAAACACATTTTTCTAGTTTCCAGACAATAACTTGTGTTCAAGTGTATGGATCTCTCTGAAATTGTACTGCAAGGTACCATACCACAAAGGGAAGGCTGGAATTGAGTTTGGGGGTGATGAATCATAAGGGGGTTCAAAAAATTGGGGGGGGATTTTTTTTTTTTCCCTTTTTTTTTTTCTTTTAAAATTTTCCATTTTAAGTTGGTTATTTCTGATTTATTTTCAAAAGCAAATAATAATGATATGGTAGGAGATACACACCAAACAGGATGTGTAAATTATTATATAATAAGTATTGTGCAATAGCAAGAAATTTTCAATTGCACAGTATTGCACAATAACAAGAAATCTTCAATTACACAGTATTGCACAATAGCAAGAAATCTTCAATTGCACAGTATTGCGCAATAGCAAGAAATATCCAATAGCACAATATTGCGCAATAGCAAGAAATTGTCAATTGTACAGTATTGCGCAATAGCAAGAAATATTTAATTGCACAGTATTGTGCAAAAGAAGATACTTCGTATAAATTGCTTATTTCTTGACCAATTTCAATGGGGTTTTATTCTTGAATTCTTGGGGTTCTTTAATATGCTGAATCTAACCGTGTATTTAGTTTTTGGATTTTGGGCCCCGTTTTTAAATTGGTCCACATTGAGGTCCAAAGGGTCCAAAATTAAACTTTGTTTGATTTCATCAAAAATTGAATTATTGGGGTTCTTTGATATGCCGAATCTAACCGTGTATTTAGATTCTTAATTTTTGGTTCCGTTTTCAAATTGGTCTACATTAAGGCCCAAAATAAAACTTAGTTTGATTTTAACAAAAATTGAATTCTTAGGGTTCTTTGATATGCTGAATCTAAACATGTATTTAGATTCTTGATTATGGGCCCAGTTTTCATGTTGGTCCAAATCGGGGTCCAAAATTAAACTTTGTTTGATTTCAACAAAAATTGAATATATGGGGTTCTTTGATATGCTGAATCTAACCATGTATTTAGATTTTTGATTTTTGGGCCCCGTTATCAACTTTGTCCACATTGAGGTCAAAAGGGTCCAAAATTAAACTTTGTTTGATTTCATCAAAAATTGAATTCTTGGGGTACTTTGATATGCTGAATCTAACCATGTAATTAGATTTTGGATATTGGACCATAATAGGTGAATGTCCAATTTAAAATTTTTAAGTTCTTAGACCACATTCATTCTGTGTTAGAAACCTATGCTGTGTCAAATATTCAATCACAATCCAAATGCAAAGCTGTATCAAGCTCGAATGTTGTGTCCATACTTGCCCCAACTGTTCAGGGTTCAACCTCTGCGGTCGTATCAAGCTGCGCCCTGCGGAGCATTTTATTGTTAATTGTAAATTTTTTTTATCCCTAAATAGTTATATCTACCCTTAAATGGACTCAAAGGGAGAAACATGTTTTAATTTACTGAACCAATTCTTGATAACCTTGCATTATTGTCAGTTGTTGAAGATTCACACTGAATACATACATTGATTCATTTTTGTCGAGCCTTCGACTTTATCGAAAAAGAGATCCTACATTCCGTCGTCGTTGTCGTCGTCGGCAGCGTCCACAAATATTCACTCTGTGGTTAATGTTTTTGAAATTTTGTAAAAATAAAATTCCTGTTTTTCCGTAGTTTACTTGTAAATGGACTTAGTTTTTCTGCCGGGAAACAATACATTCACTCTGTGGTTAAAGTTTTTAAAATTTTAATAACTTCTTAAACTATCCTGGATTTGACCCAAACTTGGACAGAAGCTTGTTTATGATCATAAGATAGTGTCCAGAAGAAAATTTGTTAAAAAAAAAATTTCATTTTTTCTGTATTTTACTTATAAATGGACTTAGTTTTTCTGCCAGGAAACAATACATTCACTCTGTGGTTAAAGTTTTTTAAATTTTAATGACTTTCTTAAACTATCCTGGATTTGTACCAAACTTGGACAGAAGCTTGTTTATGATCAAAAGCTAGTGCAGGATATTCAATGAATATACATTCATCGTCTAATTGAATATATCGGGTAATCTGATATTTTTAGCTGACATTTTGGGTATCCGATTTGCCATAGTCTACTGTATCTAGAAGGAAATTTTGTTAAAATTTTGTACCTGTTTATCTGTATTTTACTTATAAATGGACTTTGTTTTTCTTCCAGTTAACATTACATACAGTCTGAAGTTAAAGTTTTTAAAACATTTATTAGATTCATAAACTATCCTGAATTTATACCAAACTTTGACAGAAGCTTCTTACAATCAAAAGATAGTATCTAAAGGAATATTTTTATTGATTTTTTTCCTCATTTTTGTTGAGCCTGCGATTAACAGCAAAAGTAGGTGAGACACTGGGTTCCGCGGAACCCTTACGAATTTTTAGTTAGTAGTTTTGGTCATAAAATCTTATCTGCTTTATATATTAAAAGGAAAGACCACCTTCACCAAAGTCTGCTTTTCGTAAGAAACATTCCATTGGCATGTTTAATGGTAGTGCTAAAGATAAAAAGTTTCACAGTGATCCTAATGCAGCTATCCATCAGAAGTAAGTACTAAGATTGTTATCCACTGTTAGTGGATCTGCTATAATAGTAGTTTACAAAAGGTACTATTATACACATAACAGTAAATAGATGTATTAGTAGTCAGATTGCTATCAACATTAAGTGTTTATACTTTACAGTATTGAGTATTTTACACAGCTGAACAAATTTGTCATAGGCATATCAGATTTCATTTTCTTCAGAATAAATTTTTAAATGTATTTTTCGTACATGCTCTATGAGTACATTACACTTTTGAATTTTGAAAAAATACAGAATCATGGTGTTTCATTGATATAAAGGAGATGAATCGAAGGCCTGGAGCACAGAACTAAAAGGTGAAAATTGATTGATCAGTCAATCAATGGGAATAGGAAATTAAATGTTGGAACATCGAGTAAAGGGCAATAACTATGTCATTAAGTGAACTGGAAATCAGTGGAAAAATATAAAAAGATGGAGAAAAATGGGAAACAGAAGGAAAGTGAAAACTTTTGCCATTGTTCATTGTTTTATTTTGATCTTTAACAAAAAAGGCACTACACTTTGTTATCAATAGAATTGTCAATAATGATACAAACCATTCAACATATTGAAATGAAACTTTTATTTTTACTTAGACTTGGTATTGGTGATGACCAGAATACTAAAGACCCAAATGATGAAGTAAACGACTATCTCCGTCGAGCTATAGATGCCAGGAGTATAGATAAACTCCGTTCAGACCATGTTAAATTTTTCTTTCTTACATTCCTAAAGACAGATTTAGAGGAAAAGGTACATAAGCTAATATATATTGTAAACACATTTGCACTATTATACATATTATATCTCATTTTTTGTAAGTTGTATGTTAGTAATGATATCTTATTTAGTACATATCACAATAGATCTGTAGTAGACCAGTCATTTTACTCAAAGCTAAAAGCCGCCTGAAAAGGTGAATACTGTAAACCAACTTATTTTCCCGAATACATTATTTTCCAAATAGCCCTTTTTTCATGGTTTTTGTAATTTTATAAATTTTATAAGGGAAGACCAAAGTGTTACATATTGTGATGATAAATATTCGCCATATTTTTTGACTCGTGAAGGCCGCGAAAAAATAAGTTGGTTTACAGTAGTGTAATAGTGTGTACGTCCTTTTAGGAATTAGTTGTTGATTAAGCAGATCTTTATTAGTCTCTATTGAAATAATTCATAACTTGCCTAGACTCATGAAGATTTAAAAACAGTTTATCACATTGTATGAACACTTCTTAATCATAGAAGTCATCTTTTTATTTTTACGGTGATGTTAAGTATAATACATGAGAATCCAATTTCGATTTTATGAATGAACTGCCCTGATTGACTTGGGGTCATTTTGGTGAAAACACAGCATATGACATTGTGGCATAAAAATATTTACTTTGTGACGTCAACATTTTACTGGAAACAGCACCAATTGGAAGATCATGTTTTGACATATATCCATTTCCACCTTTATTGGCCTTGAAACTATTTGGAACCACAGGAACTTACAGTTCACCAGCTAATGGTCCTGATACTGGTTTGTACCTCTGGTATCTATAATAGTTCAGCTGCAATGGCATTTATCTCGTTGGAATAGCAAATATATAGGTATCAAATACAGTAGAAATGTCTAATGTTATTCACAATTTTGATGTACCTTTGTTAATAAAGCAAGAATAGCCCATGATATTGATATAGCCAATATATAAATATTTTATTTATCTTTTCAGTATTGTAAAGTTCGAGACACAATGTTTACATCACATATTGGTTCCACATTGATCACTTTGCTATTTGTTTGCACCATACATTTAGTTATTTTACCACAGTAAGTAACACCACTCTAGTATGTTTTTCAGATTGTCACATGTATTGATGTTTATAGTAATTTTTATTTTTGGTTCGAAGAAAGTTGCGGAAAGCGAGACATATGGATCGCTTTTCCGGCAAACGGCTGCGGCGACATTGACGGCGTCAACAATTGTTAAGTTTTCTGCTTAAGTTAGGTTAATAAGAACTACTTTTGATAGCTCAATGATATTTTGTATGAAGTTGAATTACTATCTGTACATTTCAGTTTGACGACTATTTTGAGGCCCTGCCCCCTAGGACATGGTCCAGTAACTTTGAATTAATTAGCAATTTTCAATGTTAAGTTTTCTGCTTAAGTTAGTTTGATAGGATCTACAGGTGATAGATCAATGATATTTTGTATAAAGTTGCATTACTATCAGTACATGTCAGTTTAACGATTATTTTCAGGCCTTGCCTTCTAGATAATGGTCCAGCGACTGAATTAAAAAACCATGTTGCTGTCCATTAGATTGTCTTTTTATGAATTTTATGCGGACAGGCGAGACACATCTCTTTGTCAACATTTTATTTTTAATGTAATTCAATTTATTTCTACTGAATATAGAGACTGTTAGAAGTGTAAATATATTTACATCTGAATTCAGGTCATTTTGGACATTATTTTCAAGATTTCCAAAACAGTAAGATCTCTGTTATATCTATTAAAGCTGAGAAAATACTAATTGCAAATGGGGAAGGGCTGAGCACTCATCAACATGTTTAATCCTGTCACATTCTTTATGTGCCTGTCCCAAGTCAGAAGCCTGTTATTCAGTGGTTTTCATTGGTTCATGTCTGTCTTATTTTTTTCTTTAATTATTTTGTTATAAATCTTTTATAGCCGACTGTACTGTATGGGTTTTGCTCATTAATAAATGTGACCTAAAGTTGCTTACATTTATGTCATTTGAATTCTGCAGGATAGTTGTCTCATTGGCAGTCATACCACATCTTATTATTTTTATATAGACTTATAAGCCTGGTATATTTGATGAATTATTACTGGCATTCTTCATTGGATAACCAATAGATATATAGAGCTGATACCACAAATAACATATACTTTCTCTCAAATTAAGCCCAGCATTATTAGATCTGCAAATTTGTGTCTTACAGTTTTCATTTTATGTTGCACATATCAATTAAATTATTAAAATGTGATTAGGCCATCAATTAATATTTGCATAAAAGATCTTTCTCATATAACTTAGAAAGGAACTGTAGCAAGCATACAATACAATTAATGTATGGGTATATCTAGCAGACACAAAATACCATATTTCTCCTTCTTTTCGTGTCATTTGACAGTGATTTAGTTAATGGAGTTTGAATTTTTGTCTCGCCTCGATGGAGTCAAGGTATTTGAGGTATGCTGTTTCCGGCTGCAGAGGCGGCAGGGTCAACAATGTATTAGTTTGTGATTAGGTCAGGTTTATGGGGAACCACTAGTGGTAGGTCAATGATATTTGGTATGCAGTTGTATTTAGCATTGGCACATCTCATTTCCATGGAGATTATTTGGCCCTGTCCCCTCAGTCATGGTCTATTGACTTTGAAACTTTGCTTAGTTTACATGTATTAGTTTGTGATTAGGTCAGTTCAAGGGGAACCATTAGTGGTAGACCAATGTTAATTGGTATGCAGTTGTATAAGCATTAGCACATCTCATTTCCATGGAGAATATTTGGCCATGCCCCCTTAGTCATGGTCTATTGACTTTGAACTTTTTGCTTAGTTTACATGTATTAGTTTGTGACTAGATCAGTTTAAGATGAACGCTTATGTTAAGTCAATGATATTTGGTATGCAAATTAATTGTCATTTGCAAGTCTCATTTCAATGGAGATTATATAGCCCCACCCCCTCATCATGGTTCATTGACTATGAAACTTTTACATAGTTTACAAGTTCATGTTTGTGTTTAGGTTTGTTTAAAGGGAACGACGTATGATAAGTCAGTGGTATTTGGTATGCAGTTGTATTAGCATTGGAGCATCTCATTTCCATGGAGATTGTTTAGCCATGTACCTTCAGTCATGGTTCATTGCTTATAAGATAGCTCTATTAGATTAAAAGATATATCTATTAGTTTATAAGGGTGACCCAGGGGTCTAAGTAGTCAACTACTGTATCACTAGCCTGTCAACTTTGAATATTTGCATAACTTACATGTTAAAGTATTGCTATTTTAGTTTCAACATTTGCATTATCAAAATTACAAAAAGGCAAGACATATCTCTGTGTTAACAGTTTATGATAATGAGGATAAGTTTTTGCTATTGATAAGTTAATTATTTGCTATTGATAAGTTAATTATTTGCTATTGATAAGTTAATTATTTGCTATTGATAAGTTAATTAGTTGCTATTGATAAGTTCATCCGCATTTTACTTTATTTGCAAAATGGATACAGCATGTCATACGAAAATAAACTTTTACTGGCTAAATGGGTTTTATTTTAAAGTTCTATAAAGAAACAACAGTATTGCTTTGAATGTTGTTTGACCAAATAATGTTAATCTATTTGCAGGTCTGTTGTAATGTTTGTGTTGTTTCCGATCTCCTGTCTCGCTATACTTGGTTTATTTTTTCTTATGTTATCAGAACCATTTATGGTAAGTTAGTACATTATATTTTTGAGTACTATCATTGTTAAAATAGTAAAATAATTATACCCTGCAGTACAAAGATGTGGAAGATTTAAAGTTTCTTACCCATCTGTCTATCACCTGAATAGAGTTTATCAAAACTTTTTATGAGTTCAATAATCAGAAAATGAGAAAACAAATTCTACTATACAATAAACTTTACTAGAAAAAATTTATAACACCTAAAAGAAAAAGAAGAAAAAAAAAGAGAATTTGCATGACATTATAAACCTACATCATTGATGTTGCCTAGGAAAATAACTATTTAGGTACATGTTAGCTGTTCCAAATCTTCTATTTATCTCTCTTGATTTTTCCCGCGGTGAATATTATACATTTATTTTCCGTGCCTGAGGGAGATATGAAGATTTGTTCACCCAAGAAAATTCATATTTCAAGAGGGCATTGCCCTAGGAAATATGTCTTTTTGAGGGTGAACAAAATCTTTTATCTCCCTAAGCCAAGGGAAATGAATGTTTTATTCCACTGCCTATACTTTTTCTACCTGAACATAAAATATTGATTTACATAATTGTTTTCATATTCGCTTGTTTTATAACATCATTTATTTTTATTTATTTTTTTGTTTAGATCTGAAATAATTTTGAACACAAAATTATTATATTATATCTATTAAAAAAACATTAAACTGTTTAATACATTAACTGCGCGTAACATTCAGAGGGGAATATGAAATTTTGTTCAACGTTACGTGGAATAGTCTCAACCAAAATGTTGGTTTCGTTATCAATATTTACACACAGTGGAATAATATGTTTTATCAAAGAAGATTCCCTATGCTTTTAGCCAATGAGAAAAGATAAATTTTATAGTCATATGATAATACATAGTATTTCAAAAGAAAAAAAATGTTAAAAGAAAAACAAATTTTGAATCTAAGATTTAAAGAGTCGAGAGTTTATTACAATTTCTATTGATGAAAATTTATTTCAAAGACTTGAAATCTCACCCAAAAAGGTGAATATGAAAGGTTTGATCAAGATATATAACTAATAGCCCAGATTTAGCTTTGAACGATCAACATGCCTCTAGACTGTATTGCTGTCATCTATTTTTTTCAGTGGACACCTAGGAGAATCAAGGCAATAGCCAGGACAATAGCTGTGAATCATTGGTATAATCAAATTGTAGCTGTGATAGTCATTATATTTCTGTATTCTAGTGCCTTATTTCCTATGGTAAGTAAACAATGGCTGCAATAGTCCTGGTATTTCTGTATTCTAGTACCTTATTTCCTATGGTTAGTAAACCATAGCAGCAATAGTCATGGTATTTGTTTATTCTAGTTCCTAATTCCCTATGGTAAGTAAACCATAGCTGCTATATTCATGATATTTCTGTGTTCTAGTGCCTTATTTCCTAGGATAAGTAAAAAATAGCTCCAATAGTCATGGTATTTCTGTATTCTTGTGCCTTATTTTCTATGGTATGTAACCCATAGCTCCAATAGTCATAGTATTTCTGTATTCTTGTGCCTTATTTCCTATGGTAAGTAACCTATAGCTCCAATAGTCATGGTATTTCTGTATTCCTGTGCCTTATTTCCTAGGGTAAGTAAATCGTAGCTGAAATAGTCATGGTATTTCTGTATTCAAGTGCCTTATTTCCTATGGTAAGTAAACTGTAGATTTTATATTACTTAACCATAGCTTTCATAGTCATCATATTTTTGTATTCTAGGGCCTTATTTCTTGTGGTAAGTAATCTGTAGCTGCAAAAGTCATGGTATTTCTATGTTTAAGTGCCTTAATTCCTATGACAAGTATCATTATACATCTGCATTCCTATGATAAGTATCACTATAAATCTGCATTCAAGTGCTTAATTTCCTATAACATGTATCATTATATATCTTCATTTTAATGCCTTATTTCCTATGATGAAGTATCATTATATATATCTGCATTCTAGTGCCTTATAACCTATGATGAAGTATCATTATACATCTGCATTCTAGTGCGTAATTTCCTATGACCAGTATCATTTTATATCCACATTCTAGTGCCTAATTTCCTATGACAAGTATCATTATACATCTGCATTCCTATGGCAAGTATCATAATAAATTTGTATTCTAGTACCTAATTTCCTATAAGTATCATTATATATCCACATTCTAGTGCCTTATTTCCTATGACAAGTTTCATTATACATCTGCATTCCTATGGCAAGTATCATCATATATCTGTAATCTAGTGCCTTATTTCCTATGATGAAGTATCATTATGTATCCACATTCTAGTGCCTTATTTCCTATGATGAAATATCATTATGTATCTTCATTCTAGTGCCTTATTTCCTTTGATGAAGTATCATTATGTATCCACATTCTAGTGCCTCATTTCCTATGATGAAATATCATTATGTATCTTCATTCTAGTGCCTTATTTCCTTTGATGAAGTATCATTATATATCCACATTCTAGTGCCTTATTTCCTATGATGAAATATCATTATGTATCTTCATTCTAGTGCCTTATTTCCTTTGATGAAGTATCATTATGTATCCACATTCTAGTGCCTTATTTCCTATGATGAAATATCATTATGTATCTTCATTCTAGTGCCTTATTTCCTTTAATGAAGTATCATTATGTATCCACATTCTAGTGCCTTATTACCTTTGATGAAATATCATTATACATCTGCAGTCTAGTGCCTTATTACCTTTGATGAAGTATCATTATATATCTTCATTCTAGTGCAATATTACCTATGATGAAGTATCATTATATATCTGCATTCTAGTGCAATATTTTCTATGATAAGTATTGCTATTTATCTGCATTCTAGTGCCTTATTACCTTTGATGAAGTATCATAATATAAATGCATTCTAGTGCCTTATTACCTTTGATGAAGTATGATTATATATCTGCATTCTAGTGTCTTATTACCTATGATGAAGTATCATTATATATCTGCATTCTAGTGTCTCATTTCCTTTGATGAAGTATCATTATATATTTGCCTTCTAGTGCCTTATTTCCTTTGATGAAGTATCATTATATGACTGCATTCTAGTGCCTTATTACCTTTATTGAGGTATCCTTATATATCTGCATTCTAGTGTCTTATTACCTATGATGAAGTTTCATAATATATCTGCATTCTAGTGACTTATTACCTATGATGAAATATCATTATGTATCCACATTCTAGTGTCTTATTTCCTTTGATGAAGTATCATTATATAAGTGCCTTCTGGTGCCTTATTTCTTATGATGAAGTATCATTATATATCTGCATTTTAGTGGCTTATTACCTTTGATGAGGTATCATTATACATCTGCATTCTAGTGCATTATTACCTTTGATGAAGTATCATTATATATCTTCATTCTAGTGCAATATTACCTATGATGAAGTATCATTATATATCTGCATTCTAGTGCAATATTTTCTATGATAAGTATTGCTATTTATCTGCATTCTAGTGCCTTATTACCTTTGATGAAGTATCATAATATAAATGCATTCTAGTGCCTTATTACCTTTGATGAAGTATGAATATATATCTGCATTCTAGTGTCTTATTACCTATGATGAAGTATCATTATATATCTGCATTCTAGTGTCTCATTTCCTTTGATGAAGTATCATTATATATTTGCCTTCTAGTGCCTTATTTCCTTTGATGAAGTATCATTATATGACTGCATTCTAGTGCCTTATTACCTTTGATGAGGTATCCATATATATCTGCATTCTAGTGTCTTATTACCTATGATGAAGTTTCATAATATATCTGCATTCTAGTGACTTATTACCTATGATGAAATATCATTATGTATCCACATTCTAGTGTCTTATTTCCTTTGATGAAGTATCATTATATAAGTGCCTTCTGGTGCCTTATTTCTTATGATGAAGTATCATTATATATCTGCATTCTAGTGGCTTATTACCTTTGATGAAGTATCATTATACATCTGCATTCTAGTGCCTAATTACTTATGATGAAATATTATTGTATATCTTCATTCTAGTGCATTATTTTCTATGATAAGTATTGCTATTTATCTGAAGTCTAGGGCCTTATTTCTTATGATGAAGTATCATTATATGTCTGCATTCTAGTGCCTTAATACCTATGATGAAGTATCATTATATATATCTGCATTCTAGTGCGTTATAACCTATGATGAAGTATCATTATGTATCCATTCTATTGTCTTATTTCCGTTGATGCAGTATAATTATACAGTAGAAAGGCTTGTATAGTTCGCAGTGGTACATAGTCCGCACCCCCTTCTCCCCACGAAATTTTAGGTAAAAAAACTTTTTGTAACTGTTAGAAAAGGTCTAATGAAACTCCGGTAATTTCAAATCCTGTGCGGTCGTTTGCGGTATTTTCTTGGAAAAACCTGTTTTCCATCATCAAACAGAAGCTGAAACTGCTTGTTAATGATTCTAGAACGCTTCATGATTGTTAAAATAAGTTTAATTCACTTAAAAAACAATTTAGAAACTTGTGTATGTTTAAACAGGAAGTTTAAAAAGCATGTGTAAAAGAAGAAATTAACCGGTGAGAGTTGAAATCCGTACATAACAGATATCACTATAATACGACTTTGAAAGTAAAACAGTTCCATCCTTTTGTAAAACAGTCTTTAATATATCTATCACATTAATGTTTGAAGGGTCTTAAGCTAATACAAACCATATTAGTCAGTATGAAACACCAAAACGGAACGAACAATAACCGATTTCGTTTTGTAGTTTACAAATTCTAAGCTGGTTTACGGTTGTTTTTTTCACTATGTTTGTATCGTTTCAATCAAGCAGATAACAGTTTATTTCAACCAATGCATTGAAAAGAAACGAGAAATTTGTAATGAAAGGTTTAGTTTTTATATTTATCAGTATTAATTTGATATTGAATAGAAATAACTTATTAATATGGATGAGTTAAAATTATTAGTTTGAAAAATGATACAATAGAAATAACAAAGATGGCGGAACGTAAACAAACCACCTCGACCGCGAAATTGAAATTTTTCTCTTATTTCTTGCTTATTGTACTCTATAGTCCGCACCCCGTCTGGAAGGTCCAATTTTTGAGAATAAAACCGCAGACTATACAAGCCTTTCTACGGTATATGTGCCTTCTATTGCCTTATTTCCTTTGATGAAGTATCATTATGTATCCACATTCTAGTGCCTTATTTCCTTTGATGAAGTATCATTATGTATCCACATTCTAGTGCCTTATTTCCTTTGATGAAGTATCATTATGTATCCACATTCTAGTGCCTTATTTCCTTTGATGAAGTATCATTATATATATCTTCATTCTAGTGCCTTAATACCTATGATGAAGTATCATTATATATATCTTCATTCTAGTGCCTTAATACCTATGATGAAGTATCATTATATATATCTGCATTCTAGTGCCTTAATACCTATGATGAAGTATCATTATATATATCTTCATTCTAGTGCCTTAATACCTATGATGAAGTATCATTATATATATCTGCATTCTAGTGCCTTAATACCTATGATGAAGTATCATTATATATATCTTCATTCTAGTGCCTTAATACCTATGATGAAGTATCATTATATATATCTTCATTCTAGTGCCTTAATACCTATGATGAAGTATCATTATATATATCTGCATTCTAGTGCCTTAATACCTATGATGAAGTATCATTATATATATCTGCATTCTAGTGCCTTAATACCTATGATGAAGTATCATTATATATATCTGCATTCTAGTGCCTTAATACCTATGATGAAGTATCATTATATATATCTGCATTCTAGTGCCTTAATACCTATGATGAAGTATCATTATATATATCTTCATTCTAGTGCCTTAATACCTATGATGAAGTATCATTATATATATCTGCATTCTAGTGCGTTATAACCTATGATGAAGTATCATTATATATCTTCATTCTAGTGCCTTATTACCTATGATGAAGTATCATTATATATATCTGCATTCTAGTGCGTTATAACCTATGATGAAGTATCATTATGTATCCATTCTATTGTCTTATTTCTGTTGATGCAGTATAATTATATATGTGCCTTCTATTGCCTTATTTCCTTTGATGAAGTATCATTATGTATCCACATTCTAGTGTCTTATTTCCTTTGATGAAGTATCATTATGTATCCACATTCTAGTGCCTTATTTCCTTTGATGAAGTATCATTATGTATCCACATTCTAGTGCCTTATTTCCTTTGATGAAGTATCATTATGTATCCACATTCTAGTGCCTTATTACCTTTGATGAAGTGTCATTATGTATCCAAATTCTAGTGCCTTATTTCCTTTGATGAAGTTTCATTGTATATATGCATTCTAGTGCCATATTTCCTTTGATGAAGTATCATTGTATATCTGCATTCTAATCCAATATTTTCTATGATAAGTATTGCTATTTATCTGCAGTCTAGGGCCTTATTTCTTATGATTCAGTATCATCATGTATCCACATTATAGTGCCTTATTACCTTTGATGAAGTGCCATTATGTATCCACATTCTAGTGCCTTATTTCCTTTGATGAAGTATCATTATACATCTGCATTCTAGTGCCTTATTACCTTTGATGACGTATCATTATATATCTGCATCTTAGTGCCTTATTACCTTAGATGAACATGATGAAGTATCATTATTTCTCTAATTCTTTGTCAATTTATCCCTTTTTGCACCCATTGATTAAAAAAAATTTAATCAATGTGTGGTTCGTTTGATCTCTGTTCTTCATTGGTTAAAATCTGATTATGACGTCGAATTTTCTTGCTTTCCTCTGAATTTCCTATTGTGACTGCATGAAAAAAGGCGACCATGCCTGATGACCTCACAAAGAAAGAACACATCTTTTTGCAGATCATTCGAAAAGAAAGAAATACATTTGCCTGTGTATTGTTTGAAAATCATTAGAGAAACAGATTCCACCACCAAATCTCGTGTAATACAATATTTATCCACTCTCGACAGTTAAATCTTAAATATTTAAAACGCTCGGCAAGCCTCGCGTTTTTAAATTTGACAATTTAACTGTCTCGAGTGGATAAATATCGTATCACACTCGATGCAGTGGTAGAATCTATATATATCTGCATTCTAGGGCCTTATTACCTATGATGAAGTATCATTATATATCTTCATTCTAGTGCCTTATTACCTATGATGAAGTATCATTATATATCTTCATTCTAGTGCCTTATTACCTTTGATGAAGTATCATTATATACCTACATTCTAGTGCCTTATTACCTATGATGAAGTATAATTATATACCTACATTCTAGTGCCTTATTACCTATGATGAAGTATAATTATATACCTACATTCTAGTGCCTTATTACCTATGATGAAGTATCATTATATACCTACATTCTAGTGCCTTATTACCTATGATGAAGTATCATTATATATCTTCATTCTAGTGCCTTATTACCTATGATGAAGTATCATTATATACCTACATTCTAGTGCCTTATTACCTTTGATGAAGTATCATTATATACCTACATTCTAGTGCATTGTTTTCTTTGATGAAGTAGCATTGTATACCTACATTCAAGTGCCTCATTTCCTATTGCAAGAATCATTATATATCTGCATTCTAGTGCCTTATTTCCTATAACATGTATTTTTATATATCAGCATTCTAATGCCTTATTTCCTATGACATGTATCATTAAATATCTGCATTCTAGTGCCTCATTTCCTATGACAAGTATCATTATATATCTCATAAACATCTCTAGGAATATGGAATAAAACAATTATGGTTTTTGTTTTGGTAAATATATGGTTTAATTGACCTTTGAAAAACTGATATTCAATGCAGCCAAAAAATTAAATATGACCCAAGGCTTAGAAAAAAAAGATATTTTACCTACATTAAGATCTTTGTATTAGACATCTTGTATCAAAATTTCTTTTTGTGTTAGTTTTTTTTACTATATCTAAGTATGAATGAAAAGAACTCAAAATTAGATTTTTGTTGAGCCTGCGACTTTTGTCGCAAAAGCGAGACATATTGATCCTACAATCCTTCGTCTGCGATGGCGGCGGCGTCCACAAATATTCACTCTGTAGTTAAAGTTTTTGAAATTTTAATAACTTTCTTAAACTATCCTGGATTTCTACCAAACTTGGACAGAAGCTTGTTTATGATCATAAGATAGTATTCAGAAGTAAATTTTGTAAAAAAAAAAATCCTGTTTTATTTGTATTTTACTTATAAATGGACTTAGTTTTTCTGCCAGTTAACATTACATTCACTCTGTGGTTAAAGTTTTTAAAATTTCAATAACTTTCTTAAACTATCCTGGATTTCTACCAAACTTGGACAGAACCTTGTTTATGATCAAAAGCTAGTATCTAGTAGGAAATTTTGTAAAAATTTATTTCCTGTTATTCCATATATTACTTATAAATGGACTTAGTTTTTCTTCCAGTTAACATTACATACAGTCTGCAGTTAAAGTTTTTAAAACATTTATTAGATTCATAAACCATCCTGGATTTTTACCAAACTTGGACAGAAGCTTCCTACAATCAAAAGATAGTATCTAGAGGAAAATTTTTAATATTTTTTTCCCATTTTTGTTGAGCCTGCGACTTTTGTCTTCAAGACAATCTATAGATTTGATTGCATACTGTATTCATTTTTTAATTTAATTTAATCAATTACTTTTCAACAAAATGTTATTTTAATGATTATTTTAACCTTTATTCATTAACATCTATACAATGGGTTATTTTGAAATTCATTGTTATCAGATGTAATCATGATTACTTGCCATTGTAATTATTGATTTAATTAGTTATTTTGAGAAATGGTGTAATCATTAATTTAATTTAATCCTACAATTGACAAAGTAATTGTAATTTAATCAATTACATTGAAAGTAATCAGACCCATCTCTGGTTTTATACAATAAAAATGTTATCTTTAAAGACCAAAGCTGACGATTATGAGAAAATTTATGCATAAGTTCCGTACTTTCTAATAGCTAAAGCGTTTTGTAAACGATCTATATTATTCCGGTCAGCAGGTCAATAACAGTATATGTTAGTTTTAACAACATAAATGCCATGTAATCAATAGATAAGATAGACTTCCTCTAGCAAAAACGCCACAAGACAAGTAAATTTGATACACTTTTGTAAATATTTTACAATTCAAAACATGTGTTTTACCTCAAATATTGTTTTTCATTATCCATATGTATTTCTTTTTAGCATTAGAATAATTATTTCTTCTAATTTCTTGTATTTATATAGAACTACAGCAAAGATATGTTTCACTGTTAATTTTTACAACTTTATAATTGCAACCATGTCAATATCTGCCAAAATATTTAATTGGGAATTAAGAATCCACTAAAATAATAACCGCCAAAATTTTTTGTATATGTGGATGCCCCAAATTGAGAAATTTTACACCTGTGAAAAAAACTGCTATGCGGTATCTACTTCTGGAGTGTTAATGCTTAATGGAGACAAACTGAACCTCAGCTTATCCAAATCTTGAAGATTTTTAACACTCCAGTAAAGTACTGTATAATGTAATGTACGTAAAAATATACAATTTTATCAAGTGATCATATAATTAGCTTGGATACTGTGATGATAATATCACATTTAATTGTACAGTTTTTACTTCTCATATGATACCATAATTTTATAATGGGAACATATTCTAAGAGCTGTTTTATAATTAATTAGTAACAAGAGTGTACCAAAAGTTATATTTGAATTTTTTTATTACTAAATGAATGCTTCCTATATTTATTGTCAGTTATATTGTAATTTCAGGTGTCTGTATATCAGTATAATTTAAAAGAATGTCTGTCCACGCATTTTGGTATTCCTGTATCATCAGTCAACCTAACACATCTTGACCAGGCCAATATCAGTCTCGGTATCGAGAATTCAATATGTAATCCTCAACATAAAACATCACATTTTCCAGAGGTAAATATGATATATTTATAACTAATTATGCACAAAGGATCATGTGACTTATCACTGTTCATCTGTTATTATAGATTATCTGTAACTTAAGAACATTCTGTCTATAATTTTTTAAACTGATATTCTCTGCATTACTGTACTGCTTTGATACACAGAATTATTTGACATTTTCAGTAGTATTGGTATTGTGACCATCTGATTGTAATATTGAGTCCACACTTTGCTTGCAAAGATCTGAGCCAGCTCCGATCTACTTTCTGTTTTAAAGACTTTTGGGATCCTCTGGTTTTGTCGTAATGATAAACACCTTTAAAAATTTGAAGGAAGACATTGCATTGGCTATTGTAATAATTACCAGAATAGAAAGTAGAACAAAATGTTTTCAGATCCATGTAAGCAAAGCGTGGACACATGACTTGTATTTCAATCATATTGTATTGTGACCTCAGATTGTTTATTACATTTCCAATTGTTGGTGATGAGTGCATTAGGAGTGTTTGTACAAGCCAGCCGTGTTATGTTTTTTCAGTGCATACTTTGTATGTTGTTGGTGATGAGAGCAATAAGAGTGGACATACAAACCATCTTGTGTTCTGTTTATATTTTTAGTCCAAATCATTTTGTATGTTGTTGGTGATGATAGCATTAGAAGAGAATGTTTTTATATTTTTCAGTATCTATCATTTTGTATGTTGTTGCTGATGATAGCGTAAGAAGAGAATGTTTTTATATTTTTCAGTATCTATCATTTTGTATGTTGTTGGTGATGAAAGCGTTAGAAGAGAATGTTTTTATATTTATCAGTATCTATCATTTTGTATGTTGTTGGTGATGATAGCGTTAGAAGAGAATGTTTTTATATTTTTCAGTATCTATCATTTTGTATGTTGTTGGTGATGATAGCGTTAGAAGAGAATGTTTTTATATTTTTCAGTATCTATCATTTTGTATGTTGTTGGTGATGATAGCGTTAGAAGAGAATGTTTTTATATTTTTCAGTATCTATCATTTTGTATGTTGTTGGTGATGATAGCATTAGGCGTGTTCATACAAGCCAGCAGTGTCCTGAAATTATTGGTATGGACTGTGATGGCATTCTTCCACTTGTTATTGGTGGAAGTATTCTTTGTTGATCTCCTTAACAACAGAGATTTTCTTATTAGTGCTAATAGAGGGTAAGTAAATAAATAATCTTGATGTTCTAATTTTGCAAACTAGATAGCAGCAGATGGTAAAACACAAAGCTTTATAGTTATAACAGAGCCAATTATTCATAAACCCCAAAGAAGTAAATCTATCTCATGGTTGTGACTATTGTATTACTCTGGTATTGCTCTAAAGTGAAAATACCACTTTATAAATTTGATGCGTCCAAAGCACTTGTCTGGATATACTTTCATTAGGAACTGACAAATCCAAAAATTTAAAAGCCAAAGGATGTATAAATACTTGAATACGTGAGGTGCTATATAGGGATCTAAAAAGAATAGCCAAATCTACCTAAGATCAACTTTGCCTTAGGGACTTGGAACTTTAGTTTATTAATCATTTCTAAATTTATCAACAAAGAATGAAATAAATCCTGTTAGTTCCAATTGACTTATTACTGAGCTGATGATACATTTGGGGATTAGCAGTCCACCAGCAGTGGTATTGACCCAGTGGTAGAAAAATGAAAAAACACTTTTTAAATTTGATATGTTTGAAAGCTTTTCTGAATTTACCTTCATAAATACACAAATCCAAATACATCACATCTCAAACTTTCCAAACTCATTAATGTTTGATTAAACTTCTTTTGCTGTCTATTTTCTAAACAGAATATACATATACCAATGGTGCAGTATGGTAGAATAGGTAATCACTGGGATTTGTAGTAGAATAGGTAATCATTGGGGTAATCTGGTAGAATAGGTAATCGGTGCTGTATTGTGGTAGAATATGTAATCACTGCGGAATTGTGGTTAAATATGTAATCAGTTGGTTATTGTGATAGAATAGGTAATCAGTGGGGTATTGTGGTAGAATATATAATCATTGGGTAATAATGGTAGAATAGGTAATCACATGAATATTATGGTAGAATAGAATATCACTGGGGTATTATGGTAGAATAGGTAATCACTGGGGTATTGTGGTAGAAAAGGTAATCACTGGGGTATTGTGGTAGAAATGGTAATCACTAGGGTATTATGGTAGAATAGGTTATCAATGGGGTATTGTGGTAGAAAAGGTTATCACTGGGGTATTGTGGTAGAAAATGTTATCACTGGGGTATTGTGGTAGAAAAGGTAATCACTGGGGTATTGTGGTAGAAAAGGTAATCACTTGGATATTGTGGTAGAAAAGGTAATCACTGGGATATTGTGGTAGAAAAGGTAATCACTGGGGTATTGTGTTAGAAAAGTTTATCACTTGGGTATTGTGGTAGAAAAGGTAATCACTGGGGTATTGTGGTAGAAAAAGTAATCACTGGGGTATTGTGGTAGAAAAGGTCATCCGTGGGGTATTGTGGTAGAGAGGTAATCACTGGGGCATTGCGTTAGAAAAGTTAATCACTGGGGTATTGTGTTAGAAAAGTTTATCACTTGGGTATTGTGGTAGAATAGGTAATCAGTGGGGTATTGTGGTAGAAAGTTCATCAGTGGGGTATTGTGTTAGAATAGGTTATAACTGGGTATTGCATTAGGAAAGGTTATCACTGGGGTATTGTGGTAGAAAAGGTAATCACTGGGGTATTGTGTTAGAATAGGTAATCAGTCCGGTACTAAGTTCTTCAGTATAGACACTATTTTTACTTATGATAGAGCTGAAATTTTTTTTCATTTGTAGAATTATTAGCTGTGATATGTGTATGTTGTCTATTTCCAGTATAAACACGTGGGATACCTTGACGGTGATACCTCTGAAATGGGAGATAATTTTGTTTTTGATTTTCTTTGTGGTTTTGTTATTTGTACACAGTCAGCAGGTTGAAGCAACTGCAAGATTAGATTTCTTATGGAAAATTCAGGTATTTTATAAGTAACTTATGGACATTGTTTAAATGACCATATATCTTGTTATCATATTGATATTGTAACTTCCTAATGGAGTTTTGTCCCTTTTAATTAACCTGTACAGTGTATAGATAACACAAATATCTAATGTATGCAATTAATTAGAAGACATCTTATATTTTTATAGGATATTTGTAATTAAATTTTTGATGATCGTATTAAATGGCCATTTTGAATTCAGTAACAATTTATAGAGGAGTTTTGGCATTTTCATTTAGTTATATTTAGACAATAAACTTTCATTGCCACTTTTGTGCATGTTTCAAAAGCTACACTAACATACATTTGAATTTTATATTTGCTGACAATAAATGTATTTTGTGCTTATACAGCAACTTCATGTATGTACCAAAATATAAAATTTACTTACAGAAAAATAGAAGAAAACAGGACATTTGATATTGAATTTCTTATTGGATGTCATCAGTACAGTCCCCATTTTAAAAAAAAATATATGACAGTCAGATTCCCCTGGTCAGTACCAGAACTAAGTTGCTGTTAGTTGCTACCATGAGAGCCGTAACTGTCTGTTAACAAAAATGCTTTATATGTTAAGTAGTTTTATAAAGAAAAGGTTTTGGGTATATATATTTTGACCTGTCTGTAAGACGGTCAGTCCATAAGTCCTTATGTTTCGCAAAAATAAATCAAATGTACTCTTTGATATCATGCCAATATTTTATTAGCGCATCGTGGATGTGGGATCCCTCTAGTTTTCACTTTGTCCATCTAAAATTTGGTAAACACAAAATTTCCAAAAGTATTGGTAGGACACCAATGAAATTTTGCCTAGTTGTGCGTATAATGTTGATGTGCATGATTTTTTTTTATGAACAATGGCAAATTTATGTTTCAGGCTGTTTTGTTAATTGCTCTCAAACTTAGAAAAATATTTTATGGAAACACGAAATCTACAAAAGTTTAGCTTTTTTGCACAGTTGTTATAAAAAGTTATATGCACATCTACACATCTACATTTCTATGCAAAACTAAATAATTGTAATTAAATGCATTTCTTTCTATCTATAAGTAGTTGTAATTAATGCATTTCTATCTATAAGTAGTTGTAATTAATGCATTTCTTTCTAAACCTAAATAATTGTAATTCAATGCATTTCTTTCTAAACCTAAGTAATAATTTTTACAGGGTGGTGCCAGTATATATGTAATATAGTGGATTATTTGCAGTGTGAATCATTCAAAACCTGAAGTTAAATAAGATTTTAATTTGATAGTTTTTTTTTTATGAATCAAAGGAGCAATGTCAAAATATATACTTCAAGGATTTTCTTGGTATGTCAATTAAACATGAGTTGTCCCACTTTTTTTCAAACTGTTGAAATTATTCCCACTAGATTCATAGCATCGAAGAACTTGTGTGGACTGTTTCATGGCATTTACCTCATGAATTTTCTTGCTATTTTTCTAAAAACGTTCAATAATAGTTAATGGAGTGCAACAGTTTAATGTTGAAATGATTTTAAAGACTCTAAATGGTAAATTTCTCGCTAAGGTTTCTTTTGATTTCGAAGACAAAATTAAAACCACAAGTTTCACGACAATACTTAACTACGAGAACCGGGTATTTCTGGATTCATTTCCCGGATTTGTTCTGTTTCTCAAATTGACAGGAAATCGTGTGATTTTAATTCATTACCTTTAAAAGTGTTTGAATATAACAGATAATAGTTGCACTTATACTTGTTTAATTTAGCATGAAATCATTTTGCATTTTACGAGCAAGTGTCTTATCTGGTGAAGACAATTTAACACATGTGTATTACATAAAGTAAATGAACACGTTTGAATCGTGGAAAAATTACTTTTTCTACGTAAATTAATCAAGTTTTCATTTTAAATCAGAATTGTCGATTGTCTTTGCTGAAAAGTAATTAAATAATGAAGCAAGTTGTCATAGAATTTAAATTTCTTTATAATAATAGTTCTGAGCTTGTGATCACTGTCAGTGGCGTAGCTTGCTTTCTGGTTTTACCGATGCAGGGGGTCTGCGCCCCCCAGAAACTATCGAGGTTTTACAATTTGAACAAGAAGAATCTATTAAAAATAATAGTTGTTGTTTAATTTAAATTCAACATAATAATGTTAATATGCCTTACACTAAGTTATACTACTGATTTATTTGTGATTTCTGGAACCTGCATCATTTTCAATGTTCAGATGAATACATTATTCAAAAGCATTTACCACTTTTTCACTAGAATCCAATCCTTTCAGTAGACTACACAGATTAAAAATTCTTTACGAATACAGGAGATGGATTTCTCCAGTTCAAAATTTTCCTGAGTCTATAGAAAGTTGTGTATGATTTAAACCGATACTATCTAATCTATGGTCGACTCAAGTTAAAAAAAACACTTGAAGATATCACATAAGACAACCACTGACAAGTCAGTTTCCTGACTTTCTAGCAATAACTGAAAGCCAGCTCAAAAACCTAATCTCCCAATATATTTCCAAGCCGTCATACACTCTAATATAGGTGGCTGTACATCACTGTGGCATATGATTTAACGTCATATCAAAAAAAATCATGACCTTGTTCGATGGACAGAAGAAACCTGTACAGAATTTTCAATACAGAAAAACAAACGCAAGGATTAAGGTTTATTTGAAATAATTTTTGTGATGATCATTTACTCCCTTGGTCATGGGTCACGAATCAGCGAATTATAGATAATCATCTCAAAAGACGGATGGATTGAACAGCAGAATTTCTTGATGAACTAGGAGATAAACACATGCTACATGTAAAGTGCACCATGGCACTTGTATTGGTTGTGTTTCGTCCTGGTATTCATTGGAAGGTCTCCAAATTATTAAATGGTTTTGAACTTTTTTCCATTCAATATGAAAGTACAATCGGCTAAGTACTAACATGTACGTTACTCTGAAGTCTTCATAATAAATGAAAACAATATTTGGTTGAAATTTTTATATATAAACTGACATTATGTATCTAACAGACATATGATAAATATTTCTCTGGAATTAGTGAATCCTTTAAATATTTAAATTCCCTGCTAGTGAAAACTATAAATTTAAAATCGCTAGAATAAAACTTGAGAACCGCAACATATAAATGTTTTTTCTGTGCATGTTGATTGATGCATATTTTATTTTGATTGGTACCAAAGTCGATGAAACTCTGTGTATTTGAAGTTCTACAAGTAGGGGAAAATGTCAACACACACCGATGTTTCAATTTTAGACGTCACGGTTATAAATGAGGGTTTGAATGATCAGAATGGGGTTTTCAAATATTTATTTTTTATTATTTTCGACCACAATTTGATTTTCCATTCTTTTATATTTTAGCACCATTTCAAATCTCTATTTTTTTAAGTTTAAATTAATTTCAGGGCCGATTTTTCTGTTTTCTATAAACCTCATCCATACCCACATATACTAGAAATTATTCTCACACAAAATTAAATAATTTACCCGATTCAATGATTAAGTGACTCGATCGTATTCTACAGATTTTGCTTGCAATGGGTTAGGACTAAATAAATATTTTGTCGATTTTTTTTACTCCGACAAATTTAGATTACAGAAAACTACCGTAGAGGGGATTTCCAAGTAGAGGAGGAAAATGTTTCTATAAGCCTTGAATTGGCAAAGGGTATGAATCAATAGCGACAACAAGACAAAACATTTTAGTCGGTATATTAGCGTTTAGTAGCTAGTCTGCTGCAATAGGTGGAAAAAGGTGAAAATCGTTTAAAAGATTAAAAAGGAAAAGTTTTTTATTTTTTTTAATTTATTTTTTAACCGAGGCAACTGCCTCGGTTGCTTCAACGTAAGCTACACCAATGACTGTCAGGTGTGAATAAAAAACACAGGTGAAAAATGATAAGCGATCATTAGCCAATATTTCAGGGAGCATTACCAGTAATATGGTTATTAGGAGAGCCCTCAGGATTATCATACTATACTGGAGTGGCAGTTTTATTACAGGAAAGGGATTACAAAACAAAACAAGTGCAAAATAGTGAGAGAAAAAAACCTGATCTCAAAGAAATGACCGAAATTATTTCTGTAAAATAAATGAATTTGTCCTAAATCCCAATCTGCCGTTTAGGAAAAATAGCTTTCAGTTTAGGTCATGACTGGCAAACATGACCATTTCTTGATCCTTGTTCACCAAACATTCACAAATTTTAATAATATACAACAGAACACTTTAAAACCTGTCTCTCTCCCATTAATCAATCATGGTTTCATATAATAGGCTACAGAAGAGAAAGAACAAATGGAAAGTTTACGAGCATACAATCTCAAACTGATAGCAAATATATTACCTCTACATGTGGCTGAGAATTTCCTCAAAAATCAACATAAGAAAGATGAGGTAAATATGCCCTCATGGTTTGTATAAATGTTTTGAATAATCTTTCAATTTTTTCCATTTTTTTATCTGGAGAGTTGTCTGAAACATATTAATCATACTTTAATGTCAATAAGAGAAACCTCAGATCCAAGGTAATAAAAGAAAGACATCTCGTTACCATAAACACAGAATAATATTTTTTGTATGAAATAACAGGAGTTACCATATATAATTATATTTTAAAAGAAATAGTTATAAAATTTTGAGATGTTATTGTAGGTTCCTGTTTTTACTTCTCAATAGTTTCTTGTGTTTGACACCTTTCAATAGATAAGTAAATTTAAGAAAAAGCATATGTTTTAACCATTGTAGAAGGAATATAACAATGGTTTTATTTTCTTACAGGATCTGTATCATTTAGATATAGATAACACAGGAATAATGTTTGCATCTATTGCCAACTTTAATGATTTCTACATTGAGTTAGAGGGCAACAATGAAGGAGTGGAATGTCTGAGGCTGTTGAATGAAATAATAGCTGATTTTGATGAGGTAGGAGCTAAACCTTAGATCACACCTCAGTTAATATAACAAGTTCTATAAGATTGTCTTCAGTTATCTGAATATGCGCTTAGTGTGAAAGTCTGTGTGAAAGACAAAACAGGTCTCAAATTTATCCCTACAGTTACGTTGCTTTAGGGTTTAATATCATGCTATTTGTTTCCAATTTTTATACATAACTGGTTTGGAATCATTCTATAGATATAATTTTTGAGTCATTTTGATTCTTCACAATCAGTTATAGAATTGCATTATAAGTAGCTTGTGAGGTATTTATATTATCACATACTTTTTGGTTTCTGACGACAATCAAGAGAATGATATAACCTATCTTTTGTATTATTCAGAGTAGATATATATGCACATGCTGTCTAGCATTTTTTATGCCCCCTGTCGCTAGGCAAAAGGGGCATTAAGTGTTACCCTTGACCCTCTGTCTTTCCGTCTTTCCGTCCATCCCATTTTCCACACTCTAACTTAAGTTTTACTCATTCCAATCTTATGATTTGATTTGATTTTTGGTGTTTTAACGCCACTTTTAAGCACCGCTTTTGGGCTATTTCGTGGCGGCCAGTTTTTATTGGTGGAGGAGGCCGGAGTGCCCGGAGAAAACCACCGACCTTCCATAGGAAAACTGACAATCCTAGTCAATTAAGATTGGAGTCGAGGGCACTCGCACGAGCGGGGTTCGAACTCACAACCTCAGTGTTGACTGGCTAGTGATTACAGTAGTATCTACTTAGACCACTCGGCCACCGAGGCCCCTCCAATCTTATGAAAATGATACACAATGCTAAGAACCACAACACACAGACCTAGTTCGAATTTGTGTAGTGAGTCACCATTATAGAGGTATGCCCCTTTTTAACTTTGAAAATTGCAGAGCATAAGCGGGGGAATTCATGTCCTCAGACACATTCTTCTTTCATTTTAAACAGTTTTCAATGGTAAAACATCCAAAACTTATAAAATCATCACTGATATATACTGATTGCATCAAAAAGGGTTAAAAAGTGAATACATGTATTATACTACAGTTATCTGTCATGTATTTTAGCATAGAATTCATAAGATTTTGTAATAATTCATTTCATAGGCCAATTTAGGCCATTCATTCACCATTTTGTTAATAAAAATTAATTGTAGTCCCCTATTGAAAGACAAAAATATCTCACTTAATTAGTCAAAGAACAACTGTAAAAATTGTTTCTATGACATACTGATTTTTATGAGAAAATTGTTCCCTTTGATTCAGGTCTGCAGTTCCATTTAAATAATAAATTTATATATTTATATGTAGTATATTTGAACAATTATTTGTTATATTTTTAGATCATCAGTGAAGAGAGATTTAAATGTTTAGAAAAAATCAAAACAATAGGATCGAGTTACATGACAGCCTCAGGTTTAACTAAGGAAACAAACTACGCTGACATGAGGCATATTGTAGCCCTGGCAGAGTTTGCTTTCTCACTCAGAGAACAACTCCAGTATGTCAATGAACATTCATTCAATAACTTCAAGTTAAGGATTGGTAAGTCTTAAATCAGGCTTTTAACACAAATTGTATTGCATTAGCTTAAAAGATTCATAAAAAAAGGATAATATAAGGTAGTCTGTTAATAGTGAATTTTGACTGTTGAAAATATATTCACTAACCAAATGAACAGGTTTCTGCTCAATGTTTGCCTCCTACTCATCATAAAACAGCCCTTGGCTTATAGGGTGAAGAAGTGTTAAACAGCTATGATTCAGACTACATAAAGGACAGTTATATGCTATAAAAGTTGAAAGTACAACTAAACTTTGGATTTATTTCGTTAAATGCTATGTTTAAACACAATGTTAATGCATTTCTGACATTATGGGTTCATACTATATATAATTGGTAAATAGTGATGTCAGAAATTCAGATTGTGTTAACATGATTAATTCTTGAAAACTGTAATCCACAAAATTATTAAAAATAATTTTCAGAAAACATTGAATAATTCTACTGTTTGTTGTAAGTGAAAATTCCATGAAAATCTCTGGGAAAATAACTTTGATAACTATTATTTTGGGAAAAAATGATTTTTTATAAAATATACAGTAAATGTACATAAAAACTTATATACTTAAATTTTTAAACTAAACTAGTCTTAACTTATCCTCAATTGTAATACGACTTGTTTGTTTAGGCATGAATGTTGGACCTATAGTGGCAGGTGTAATTGGTGCTAGGAAACCTCATTATGATATCTGGGGAAACAGTGTAAACGTGGCAAGTCGCATGGATAGTACAGGTGTTCAGGATCGTATACAGGTAATCAATCTTAAATTTTATATGGATAAGCGTTTATAAAAGGAAAAATTGAGTAAAAGCCAATTAGTTGACACCCAAACAGCACTGGTATACCAAAAAAAAAATCTGATCCTGATTTTGGCCTTCAACAATGAACAAGCATTCAAAGTCTTTAATAAACCTTTTCAATTACGCCGTGTTTATACATGGCAAGTTATAACTGTTTAAAGGGGACATTATTGATACTGTAGCCAATGCTCCTCTGTACTGTAGATCATATTAGTATAATATCTTAGTCTAGGTGGAGGTTGAGTGTTTACAAAGTAGGTTTTTGAAACCACATTATACAATTGAATAGAAACAAATGTGACCTGTAAGTGCACAATAATTTGATAATCCATGAAACAGATCAAATGTGCAAAATGCTAGTATTAATTCTTATGAAGTGCATATCTTTTTAAAACTTCCTTATTGTCCACTGTGCAATGAGGTGCGGGGGACATGGAAATACCAAGTGTCTGTCTGGTCTTGTAAGCCGCATGTGTACCATTCTTGCCAGATTTTTATGAAATTTATATCAAAAGATTTATATCAGCAATGTCTAAGACAAGTTTGAAAATCAGTGCCAAATAACTATTTTTATGCCCCCGCTGTAGCAGTGGGGGCATTAAGTTTTACCCTTGTCCATCTGTATGTCCGTCCATCCGTACATCCCAAAGTTGGTTTCCGTTCTTTAACTTTAGTTCGCCTAAACCAAATGTTATGAAACTCATACACAATGCTTATTACCACATAATACAGATCATGATTGAATTTTGGTGGTGTCACTTTAATAATTCTAGAGTTATGCCCGTTTATAAATGGAAAAATTGCGGAATTTTTTGTTTCCGTTCTCCAACTTAAGTTTACCTGAACCAAATGTTATGAAACTTATACACAATGCTTATTACCACAAAATACAGATTAAGTTTGAATTTTGGTTGTGTCACTTTTACTGTTCTAGAGTTATGCCAACTATGATTACAAATGGAAAAATTGCTGAATTTTTCGTTTTCGTTTTCTAACTTAAGTTTGCCTCAATCAAATGTTATGAAACTTATACACAATACTTATTTCCACAAAACTCAGATCACGTACAAATTTGGGTATCGTCACTTTTACTGTTCTTCAGTTATGTCCCTTTATAACTTTATATAATATGCAAGCGGGGGCATCATCTGTGTCCCATGGACACATTCCCCATTTATTTTAAGAGAGCTATGACCCTTGGAAATATGAAATATATGGAAAATTGCATTGTAAGTGACCTCAAGCCTACATTTCTTGTAGAATTATTGTGAATGACTTTTACTTGCTTATATTTATATGAAGTTAATTTTTATTTTGAAATAGGTCACCCAGGAAATATACAACATTTTACATAAGAAAGGGTATGTTCTTGAGTGTCGAGGAATTGTGAGGGTCAAAGGAAAAGGTGAAATGACAACCTATTACCTTACAGACAGGCCACCAGTAGCTTACAGTAAAGCTTGAAGCATTCCACATATTTATCATCAGTGATGTGCAAAACTGTATGAAGATATAAAAGTGTCATGAAAACAGTTTCTTTGTACAATTGCATAATCTTCTATATTCAAGTTTGGATAGTTAACTTGTGAATGTTAGACCCTGGCTCTATACTGCCACTAATTGTACAGCAGATTTTTAAAAGTTTACCTGTAATGCATTGTAGTCTTTAAATTTTGTTTCATTTAAGGATTTAAAGCAAAAATTACAAACAATATGCAAGACAACTACTAAAAACCCTTTTAACTGTTTTTAAAGAAAGCTGTTATTTTTATTTGAAGAGGATTCTAAAAGATTTGAAAAGAATTTACTTTTGTGATATTATTTTTTACCAAAGTAATGTAATTTTTAACCAGGTGAGGGTGCAACACAGTTGTTCCTGTGCACTAACTTTAACTTTTCACCGTGAAAAAAGGACATATGATGGTATAGTTTTTGTGTCAATTCTACAATGACTGGTGATATGTCAGGCTAAACGTAAGGATCTTTATTTTTAGCTTAGTTTTACACAATGTTTGGTTCTATAAAGACAAGCTCTCATTTGATTGTTAGAATTGTAAGATTTTCAGATTTGTCATTCCATAGTTATGGGACTTACATTATAGGAAATTTGATAAGAAAAAACATGTCTCATGACATTTAACAAGTTTGTGATAAATTTATGAAATATTTGCATATTTTGGTCATAAGTCAAGCTACTTTTGAATTTGACAATTTGATTTATTCCTCACTAGAGAATTATGGGACTTAATTGAATACATTTGGAGCACATCTTATAAAATCAAATTTCTCACTGATGATTTCAATGATATTTTAAATTGTCATTCCAGAGTTATAGGGCTTAATTTGTTAAAAATATGAATGATTTCTAGTAAATGTGTCATTATTTGTTTCATTAAATTTCATTTTAAAATAGCTGTTGCTCCATAACCTTTTTGGACAACAAATGGGGGTTTGAATATTATATGGCAGAGTTTATAATTGGTATTGTGAAGACGCTTATAGTTGAGCCATGTTTGGTCTTTTTACAAAAATTTTAATATGTACTGAATTTCTCTGGTAAATCAGTAGCAGAATGAACATGAACATCAATAATCTGAAATGACTGCAGAAAAACTAAATAAACATAAGTCAAAGGCCGTTCTTTGACCTGTATTTGTTAATTTTTATACATTGTGACTTGGATGGAGAGTTGTCTCATTGGCACTCATACCACATCTTCTTATTTATATAAGTTACCCACAACATTGGAGATGACGGAAATTTATGTAATGTTACTGGTAGGAATAGCTGTAACCTGGCACTAATACATATATATATTGGTCCCAGCTGTAAATTGATATTTATGGTTATACATATCACATTTTTATTCTCTTGATATATTGTATGGTTCTAATTAAGTATTATGTATGTGCAATTATATGATTTATTTTCCTGCCACATTGTTCATATATTATTTTCATGTCAAAGTTGTATTTTGGCTCATCATTTTTGCTAATTTATGTTAAAGTCTAGTCACTTTTGTCATATTATTGTTATAAGTTCAGCATACTAGTGAAATCTTTTGTCATTATGTTATTGCCTCTTAATATAACTGCAAAACTTTTGTGATATTACTTAGATTTTTATATGTAATGGGTTGAAATCTAGCATTTATAATGGTGGAGGACAATTTAAGGAATTTTTGACATTTTAGCACCGTATTTGAGTTCCATATTTGAACTCAACTATTACAAGTCCATTCTAGTCTGGAATAAAGACAACAATACTATGAAAAAATTACTTAAATAATCTAACTATTTTGTCCATGAATATTTTTTGTTCAGTTCATAATATTTACAGAACATCTCCATGCTATTTCCTGGCCTTTCAATACTTTGTAGATTCCATAACTTTTCTTTCCTTGTTTTGTTTCAAAACATTGATATCAGTGTTTAACCAAATTGTAAATGCCAGCACCTTTAAAATTAAGCCAGCATATCATGTCTTAGTATGGTTAGATCTGAATTTTCACTAAAATGGGCTTTTTCAAAAACAGGTAAATGAATTAATTTGATTCTAAAATTGGCGATAGTATTGGCCCTTAAATTTCCACTCTCAGTTTTGAATTATTTGCAAAAATGTTCTGCACCCCATTTATAAAGACATTGGTTTTCTTGTGGTGAGGTTTATCCCATTGATAGATTTAATTTATTAAGAAACTTAAGTTTCAATTCTCTCAGGCAAAGTTGACATTAGATTGATTTTGATATTAATTTTAGGTCCCTTTTGGTCATATGGCTCTTCAACTTATACATTCTTGGCTTTCAAATATTCTGCATTGAGCCTTCTTCACGAAGGTTAATTTGATAACTTTTGGTATGGTACATTTGGTCATTGTTAGCTCTCGTTTTGGTATTATACATTAGTCGGTCATAGCTATTGGTGCAGTATTAAACATTGGTTGTGATTGCTTTCATTACAGTACTATTTATTGGTCAGTGATATATTTTGCTTTATTTTATCAGTATGAATTGTAAGAACAATGCATTGATATCATTCCCTTTCTATCTTGATCTCATTTCATTTATATCAATATTTGTAATACACAGTACAATATGATATTGTTTTGTTTCAATCACAAAAATGTAATTTAAGTTTTAATATATGCGATAGTATTGTTAATTTTCTTGATTACTGTCATGTTTGTGTATTATATTGTATCAGTATCATTATTAATTACATAACATCCTTAAATTGTTATCAATGTGATTGCTCAGATAATTTATTGATTGTTTAATTTATGACAAGATTTTTGTTGGACACATCTTTGTGTTTTATTCATTTGTAATACATACAGTAAAATTGGATTGAGTAAGAACAATTTACAGATTGTCATAGTCATGTAGTAGAATCAAGCTGTAAATCTTGTTTACACATAGATTGATAGATTGTTCCTAATGTCCAATAATGTGGCAACTATGATCTTAATATTTAGAACTAGAACTTATGTTACAATAAATCAGTTAGGCAAATTAGAAAAGTGGTTAGAATGGGGGAAAGACATTAATTATGGTTTAGACAAGAAGAAGAAAATGAGGACATGCATGGTAGGGTTAGGAAGTTTGCATTGTAACATGTGACCTTTACAATTCTATTTATTGAAAGGATTCTTCAATGTGCCCAGTGCAATGAACACTCCTACCATGGAATATCATAGTTAAAAGCCTCATTTTGACAGGATGTTTATTAAAAGTTTGAAAATTACTGATTATTTCATACTTCTTCATCATTAAGACAGTGAAATGTATAAATATGAAATCCAGTAACATGATTAACCATGGTTACAGTCAGGTCTCACACAATTTTCATTAGAGTCCCTCTTCTTTACTCCTCAATTTCAATTGATGTTAAATATTTTTCCTTTGTCATTTACATTAATTTGAAATTCATACATTTGTTCTCAGCTCTCCTGGTTAATTTGGACATTTTGAGCTATTGATATCTTTTATTGTCTGTCATCTTTTATGGTATCTAATCAGCAATATCTTCCTCTGAAACTGCAGACTGAGTGAATTATAAAATCAAACTGAATGATGTTTACTGTAGAAATTCAGAAAAAAACAATATTTTCTTTAATTAGTTCTTTTGTCAATAGAGAAATAACTGTACATTATTACTTTGGGAAATTAAAGATAGGTCTGTTTGCTTGTTTTCAGTGCGCAAGGGGAAAAAATTATAGAAAAAATTAAAGGGATGTCTTTCAATTTTTCATTAAAAATAAAGTTCTGAATCATCATCCACATAACCACTATAGCTCAATAAAATCATATGAGAGACCAGAATCATAAAATCATAAAAATAGAGCTCAATTAAAATTCCAATATGTTGTACAGTCATAGATCTAGTCTTAAATTAATTCTAGTCAAGTGCTTTATGTCTAAAGATATTTTTTAATATGACTAAATCATGTAGACAATTACAATCATTTTTGTTATTATCGTTCAAGGTCTAAGACAAAATCTAGTCAATTATACAAAGTCTTTATGGATTTGTAATGTTCTACTGTTTTGCAATATTAACTGACCTTGACTTCGTTACCATACATTTTTGTATTCTTAGTTAATAAGCTTTAAAGAAATGGACTATTTCTCTTTTTTAGAATGGAAATGGTTTGAAAAGAGTTTTTTTTTTTTTTTTTTGACTTTAACATCTTGCTTTAATGTTAAAACTTTTTTAAACATCTTACTTTAATAATGTTAAAAAATGAACCAAAATTAAATGCAACATTCCATTTGAAGTGGTGAAGTGCATGGAATTTTAAACTTTGAAAATATTCATATATGAAGTGGGAATACGTATTTAAAAAAAAGTTTCAAGTTGGGTTAAAAGACAGTTAATGTTTTACTCTGTGAATGAACCCTTTTATTTTTAATTGATGTTGATATTTCATTGTTATCTGAATAAATGTTATATTTCTTATAATACCTTTATTGTGTTATCATTTACAACCTTTTCTGAAGACCCCATTACCCACATCTTCAGTTTCATAGTTTGTGTTAGAGGCATATACCCATTCACAGACAGAAAAACGAGTAAAATATATGCAGCAACAAAACAAAAGTAAAGAATGGGGTAACAGTTTATAATTTAATAGATTTTGGGTATATGGAAAATGAAACATCAACTTATCAACACAAATAGCCAAAAGGTATTTAGAAGTCAACATACAGTCTTCAACAATAGACAGTTGTCAATTCAATATACTACACACTAAAATGTCTCTATTCTAAAATAGATGTGAATATATTAGAAAGTATTAAAAATTTGCCATCAACACCAAGTCTGCAAAAACAAAAACATTAAGATATTACATAAAAGAATTGCTAACAAGGTTTCCTGACTTTGGACAGGTATTTGACTATGCGGCGGAGTTAACTAATTTTCTTGATATCTCAACCCTCTGCCTTTCAATGCCAACATGGGGACACACAAAATGTATATAAAAGAGAATACAATAAAAGTTGGGGAACAGGAAAATCACTTTACTCTAAAATAAGGGTATGATAGATAACAAAAGCATCCAGAAACAAAATAATAATAGTTATATACCTTATTAAAGGATTCTTAAATTATTGAAAGCAAGTTCAAAAACTTTAATTAGCAGAGTTAACTATAAAAAAAACTGTATGATAGATAACAAAAGCAAGTAATAACAAAACAATAGTACTCGTATACTGTATTAAAGAATGAGCTGCGACAAACCCTTCAATTTCCTAACAAAATCGTTTGAGCTATAAGCAATATCTTCATCAAACTTGATTTGATTATTCCCCATTAGGTGAGAAAGAACCCGATTGACTTTGGGGTCAATAGATTAAAGGGCAAGGTCACAGCAGCCATTTATAGACTGCAATTTTCACAATTTTATCTTTTGTATTATATGTCCAACAGGTCAGGTTATTTTGAATTCGATAGTCAAAATGAACTTTAAAAAAGATATCCAGTCTTTTAAAATTATCAATAATATAGCTAAGGCAATTTCTCTTAAAAAAGGATGCTTTGTAGGAAAGTTAAACTCAGTTAATTTACAAGAGAACCAAAACAATTGGAAAATGAATCTGAAAAAGAGGCTTTAAAGGACTTAAATCTTTCCAGTGTGCCATCTGAACCCAAATATAATATTATGGACTGAATTAAACATAATTTAGATGTATTTGCTCTTAATGATTCTGAATTTAACCATACAGAGATATTAAAAGTGAAAATCAATTGTGGGAATCATCATCCTATTAAACTAAAACCTTATAGGACACCAATGCATAAACGAGAAGTATTTGACAAAACAGTTGATGAAATGTTATTTGCCAACATCATAATGAAATCACAATCACCATGGAGTTTCCAGTTGTAATTGGTTCCAAAAGTTTTTATGTTGACTTTAGAAAATTGAATAAAAAAACTTAACAAAACTGATATCCTTTACCATGTATAGATGATATATAAACAAATTTAGGAAAAGCTCGTTATTATAGTTATGAAGACTTAAAGACGGGTTTTGGCAAATTTCACTGTACGAGAAAGAAGAGAAGATGGCATTTGCGAGCCACGGCGGTTAATTCGAATTTTAGTTCTTGCTTTTCGGTGTTTGTATTGCCCCAAATATTTTATCTGAAATGATCAATATTTTGATATATTCTGAATATTTGGTCGTTTATTTAGACGATATTTAAAGATATTCTGAAAACACCTGAAGACCATATAAATCATATTCAAAAAAGTTTTTACATGTTAGGAAACGTCACATCAAATAAAATTGGAAAAAATGTATCTTTTTAAAAAAAAGAAATGACTTCTGTGGAAATTGTTATTATTGAGATGCAATAAAACCTGACCCTCAAAATATACAAGCAATTAAATCCTAAAAATCATTAACAGTTAAAGAAGTTATATCTTTAATTGGAGTTGTAATTTTATTGTCTCGCCTGCCAGACTTAGGGATTACTATCCGGTAAACTATTTGTATAAAGCTTTATATTTCAGAAGGTCGAACACCTGGATGCTTCATACCTTGTATGCAGATACCTACTGTTACGAAGTTTCAGTCTTCCATATGTACATTGTCCGTGACCTTATTTTCATGGTTCACATCGTGTGGATTTCTCATTTATTATGAGTAATAAGATAACTATATTTAGTATATTGGTTCCTTGCATTGTCTTTATGTCTGTCAGACAGGGTTCACTTGACCCCGACCTCATTTCATGGATCAGTGATCAAGGTTAAAGTTACGTAAATTATGTCCGTTTCTCGGATAATCTAAACAGTAGGTCGACTTTATGTGGTGTATGGAATGATTGTAAGGGGTACATGTCAGACTTGCAGGTTTTGTCTGACTTTGACCTCATTTTCATGTTTCATAGGTCAATGTTAACTTTTTGTGTTTTGGTCTGTTTTTCAAGTACTATAAGCAAAAGGTCATCTATATGTGGTGTATGAATGATTGTAAGGGGAACATGTCTGTCTGGCAGGTTTCACCTGACCTTGACCTCATTTTCATGGTTCATTTGTCAATGTTAAGTTCTTGTGTTTTGGTCTTTTTTTTCAATTACCATAAGCAATAGGTCAACTGTATTTGGTGTATTGAATAAATATAAGGTGTACATGTCTGTCTTACAAGATTTGTCTGACCGGCGAAATTTCAGCGTGTGCATTCTTGTCTGTATTAGTCTCATTCCAACTATTCAAGGGGAATTCAAATTACAATCCAGAAACCCACATTTCTTTCGGACACACAGATTGACGGACGGAAGGACAGACAGACTGTTGAGAAAGACAGACGGACGGACGGACAAAGCGATAACTACATGTTCCTGCAATTTTATTTCTTTTTTTTTTTTGGGGGGGGGGGGGATATCAAGTCATGTGTTTTGAAGGTGGCAACTATACAAAAAAATCACGCAAGTGCCTCTCCGTAAATTAAATTGAATACGGAACGTATTGAACAAAATTCCATTATTCCCACAGTCACGACAATCAGGAATAGTTCGCTAACGGGAACAAAAATCATACTAATATCTATTCAGGGTAAGTTTGTGTCGTGTGATTCGTAAGAGAAGACTTTTTAATGACGAACAATGGACGACGCATACATACTGATGAGAAAAGTGCACATGACTGGTTGACCCTTAAGGTTAGTTTATCTGAAAGGGACATTATCATTGCAAAAAGACAGTAGCAAGTACGGATGTTTCATAAGTTTTATGTTCACATAATGGAAAACAGTTATTACTTAAATATTTAAGGAATGTTTACGATCGTTCCTGTCCTCAGTGACTTGGTACAGTATTGAGTAAGCTTGGAGTTGAAAATTACTTCGTCAGGTAAAATTTCACAGGATAATTTACCTGAAATGTACACACAGCCATTTTATTGTAACTTTAAAAGTATAGCATACATAATGATTATTTTCGTCTTCGATGATTTTTGCATTTGATAAACATCTGAGGCAAAATTTTTATTTTGTTTTGTCGAACTTTAATACACGATTTCCCATAGTTAGTTGAGCCATCATAATTATGGCAATATATGATTTAAGAATTACCTTTTTTAAATGAACATTCATTAAAAGTCTGCATTGTCTTTGGAAAACCAACTTTTCAAAACACTGGGAGTAGAAAAGAGGTATAGTTTTTTTCATGAGAAGCCTGAAACCTTTGATCTTAACCAAAGCTGATCTTGTCTGTGCTGAAACCAAGCGGTTGATGGGTGAAACCATTTGTCCCAACAACAAACGGAAATCGTGTCATTACTACTGTAGAAACAGCAAACGGAGATTGGTGAAACCTAAGATCTGTTCTAGCAAAAAATGAAGATCGTCAGTGCTAATGCCGACCACTTGACAGATGAAGCCATCTGTCCTAGCGATTAATTGAGATCGTGTCAGTGCTGAGCCGACTATTTGACGGTTTAAACCATCTGTCCTTAAAAAAAACAAACGGTGATCATGTCAGTGCTGAAGCCGACCACTTGGTGGATGAAAGCATCTGTATAAACAACAAACGAGGAAAACGACTAACTTTACTCTTTGGTTTCGTCTTTGTAAAATATGTAATCCCTTTGACAGCATAAAACTATCTGCTATCATTTCTAAAAGGACAATTCATTGTCAACATATAAAGTTATATTTTCGAAGATTTTAAAATTAAATAAGACTTTAAAAAACTACAAATTTAGTTAACTATTGAGACTGATGTTGATGCAAAACTGATATGTCAGTAAACATGAATTATTAATTAGTAATCAAGTTTTGAAATTCTGATATAACCACCGATAAATTAATCACCCAATATGTTCCTTTATATGGATTTTGAGCATTTCTGTTGTGTCCCGTGGTCAGTATGTTATAAATTAAATGTTTTCGTCATTTTTTTTTTGTGCTGTGTATCAATCTGATAAGCTAAGCCAATTTCGACTGATGTTTATAGTTTGTTTGTTATTGTTATCACATTTTGTTGAAAATGCATATTCATACCGCCTTTTTATGCAGAAAGAGAGGTATTCTTATCACAATTTGTTGAAAGTGTGTAAACTTATCGGTTTTTTTTATGCAGAAAGAGAGGTATTATTATTTGTTCAGCAAGATTAACATTACAGGGATACCCTGTCAAATGCTGTAGACATGGTATTTTTATTACAGTATATAGTGCAATAAACTTGATTTTAGAAGTTAAAAAAAAAAAAAAAAAAAAAGAGGTATTCTTATCATTTTTTTTAACAATCGTTCCTAAAATACCTTAAATTTACCATTTCCTAGTTACCTGGTTGGAGACTTTGATTGCCATTTTATGTATATGAAATGTAACAATACATTTTATATAGAAAAAACTAAATTATAATCCTGAGTTAGTATACAATTACAATAATTTCATTTGTGAAGCAAACAACTTAGTAAAGTAAAGGTTGTACAGCACAACATATAAATATTCAATTGAGTTTTACCATTAATAACATCGATGAAGTGCTGTTTTTCCATTCTGTAAGCCTCATAGTATCTAGGTAGGCCATGCTGTTCTATTGTATCTAATAGACGTCCATCTTGGTTCCACAACTGAAGATGTGTAGTAGATGGATTCTCTATACAAAGCATCCCCTTTTCTCCTAGTACCTGAAAACATTGTTCATCATGGATCTTGAAATTAAAGTATTCTTAGTATTTTAGTATTAGTATTCTAAAGAATAAGCGATATATTTCCTGGTTACAAATTTAAGAATGGCGTAGAGAACAGATTATAGACCTATACTGAAATGTTGATCCCGCGTAACTTCAGTACACATTTTATGTTGGTAGAAAATTAACATTAATGGCCACGGCTAAAGATGATCAGAGCTGATTTTTTTAACTCGTCCAATCCAATGAGAAGTTTAGATGTGAGAGAAATAGCAATGCAATTTTCTTTACAAATTACATGACGATGGCGGCATTCACACTTCCATGACTCCAGTAGAAATAGTTGATCGGCACTGATTTTCAAATTATCGAAGACCTGTATTTTTCATATTCTTATATAAAATCTAACTTTTATAACGATTTGCATATATAGATTTGAGATAAAGGTCTTGTAATTGAAGTTATTCCTTATAACACTTTATTTAGTTCCTGTAACAGATAATTCTATGGTAATTTGAAAGCTAAATGACATATTTTAGTATCTTGTCCACTATATACATAGTCACATTAAGCATGAAATGTGTAAAAATATTTTATTAAAGAATTCGTTATGTATGGCTACTGGAGTAAATAAATACGAAATATACAAGTAATTCAATAATTCAATAATAGGGATTAGGAAACAAGATTAGTGCTCTTATACAAATCTGTCTCCCTAAATTCAAAAATAAAATTACAAAACTATGTTTACATGCTGAATGGCAAACGAATATGCCACAATGTAACAAAATAAAGTTAATGAATACAGTAATTTAAAGAAAGTTCATTATTAGTTATACATAAAAATAGCAAAGGGCGGGGGATACGGGTGTTTTGAAAAATGACAGTGTTATTACCGAAAGGGACATTATTTCTTTATACGGGAGGAGTGAATAAAATTATAAGATTGTGGATGTATATCGATTGCAACTCTTGATAAATTTTTCCACGGCTTTGAATATATATTTATTTTGATCTACTTTTAGTCTGATTGAAATTCAGAGGTCATCTATGTGTCTTTGATTAGGTACATTAAATATTTTGCATTTTAATAAATAGTGTTCAGTTATTTCTGTTTCTCCACAAACCCACTTTGGAGATTGTTACTTTGGGGACTCAACAAACACCTCTATGACAGAGGCAAAAATGATAATGGTATTTCAGCGACTAAAACTTACTTTACAAAAAGTCACTGGCATACGGTTCCAATCATTTTCAAACTAAGAATATTCATATTAGTCTACCTCTTTTAGTACAAATTTTTTTCATTAAATTTCAAAGGCTTACATCCTTATCTTTCATACAGTATACATACTTGCATTTCAATTTAAAAGATATAATTTCTTTTTCCAGTTCACATTGAAACCAAGTTACATTCGCAAATGTATTTTTATCGTGTAACTGAGCACGAAGTATTGATGTATTCCTGTGTATTATATTCCATTTAACCTGGTGACAGATAAATGTAAGCAACAGTTGCTTGTTTTTGTATCAAAATTGTTATTAGGTGTATTCCGTGCCACATGCAAAATGTGAATTCACTTGCTTTCATTTCGTATAAATTTAAAATAAAACAGCAGTCAATTCTATAATGAAATAGTGTTTACAATAATTCATTTGTTGTATAAATATAATTTGCAGATTTAAAAAAAAAGGTCATTGCCCAAGTAAGCTTTTGATATGTCAACATTCTTAATGTTTCTTACTTCAAATCTCTGATCGTAGCCATAAGGAACCCCTCGTACATTTTCAATATATCCAATAAGTCCGCTGGAGAATTTAAGCATAATCATGGCACACTCAACATCGTTACATTCTTTAAACATCTGACTTTTTGCATGTCCAAAGCATACTGCACTTTCTGGTCTTTCTCCAGACAACCAGCATATCAAATCAAGTTCGTGTATAGCACTGTCTACAACTATTCCTCCTATAATAGTTTAAAACTCAGTAATGAAAATACTAGCTGTTTGGTCACAGAACTTTTCATCTATATAAAAACACCAAACCACAACCTCTGACATGCAAGTTTCTCAGTTGTAGTTTTGTCTTATTTCTTGGATTATACTCTCTATCTGCCTTAGACGGAGATTACATAGACAAAGACCAAGATATTTATGGTATAATCTCACTTCTCACAATACTGTTTACAATTGCAACACATTTTTGCATAACTCATAAAACTTTAATTTAGTATCTAAATAGAATGTATGTATTATAAAATGGTATCCCAGTCGCAGAATCGAGAACTACGCATAAATATTATGTTGGATAAATAATATACATGTACTTTGTTTGCACAGGATAATGAATATTAAAATATTCATGTCTCTTCTATTTAACATCTACAGTAAGGCAACATTTCTCATCAAAAAGGCACGATAAATAGAAACGTATTAACTTTGAATTCTATAACTGATAAAATGAAGATCGCTTTAACAATCGATATAAAGGGTAAAAAAAGAGGAAAATTTGTGTTATACACTGAATGGTACACATATATATAATATTTAAAGAACTTACCGCTCGACTTCAAATATTCTGCATTAATCCATGCTGGAAGCTCACGTGCAACTAGTTTGATCAGGCGAAGTTCGCCCAAATCCCCTGCTTTAATCTTGTCATACATTTTACGTATGCTGATATCGAAACGCCTGTACAAAAACAAATGGTTGGAAAGGTATTTTAATTTAGTTTAGCTTTTATCGATACCACGAATGCTGACAAAATCAGCTAAAAGATGATAAAGAAACAAGTGTTTTGCAGAATATACTTGAAATATAAAGTTTTTGTCACGTTTGGTAGACTTTTTTTTAACAGAAAGTCTGTACTTTTATATGCTCTAGCTGACTTGACCTTTATTCACATGAGTCAGACCTCATACAGAGGCGTTTCGAAAAGAATGGGAAAACAACTAGCATTTTCCATTAGTTTCAAATTTCTCTGTATATAGATAATCTTCTCTCACTGGATAATCCATAGACTGATGTCTTTGTTAGTCGCTTCTATCTGAGTGAACTGGCACTAGAGGATACTACAGAAACAGCAAAGTCTGATTCATGTCTTGATTTTACTTTATTTCAGTGACGATAAGAATAGACGGGCAATATTAAAGAAAATTTACCAAAAAATTCATAAAACATAAACACATAAAGAAGTCAAGAGGTCAAAGTCCTCAGCGCCTGTTGTCATCTTATATAAGATTCATAACCAAAAATTAAATATATGTAATGTTGATATAACACATTTAAAAATTAGGTTGAATATTTACAGTAGGAAAGATAACAGTTCCTGTAATGTAATGTTAAATTCCTTTAATTATATGTTGTATCGGTAAACGCGGCCGTTTTTCCAAAAGTATCTGCGTATGCCAGCTTCAGGTATTTGCGATCATTCTCTGATATGGTATGCTTATCATTAATTGCTTATGCTTGCGTATTTTATTATCCAGTATACTGCTTTTGTTAAGTACTGATTTACTGTATATTCTTTTTCATGCCTTATGTTACTAGTATTCAACTGATCGCGAAAATTGTTTAATCCCGCCACTTTTTCACTTAAACCGTTTCAAGTCAGAAACCTCGTCACCGATTGATTTTTTTTAATCAAAATCTTGTGTTTTTGTATTTTGGGAAATTTGGTGCTGCTGACATACCTTTAATGTCTCTGTTCAATTGATTCATGTCATTTTATACACGGGGCGATACAGATATTGGCATTGTGTATATATAGCCACCTGTTTATTGACGAAAACTGTGTGGAACTCTTTGTGTCTTTTTTTATGTGGTTGCATTGTCGTCTCATGTATAAACTACATGCCCCTTTATTTATATAAAATTAAAAATATAAAGTACCACTACAAAATATACAGCTAAGCTGGTTAGACAATACTTCACATCGAAGAACAAGATTTCACTTGTAAATGTCTAATAATTTAGTTTGATGTGTTTGAGCTTTTGATTTTGACATTTGTTAAGGGACTTTCCGTTTTGAATTTTCCTTGGAGTTCGGTATTTTTGTTAATTTACTTTTTAAGGACAAACAACTTGAAGTTGAACTATTTATGCATAGTATAATTTAAAGTGGTAGCTGTTGCCAAACAAAAATTCATAAAAGGTTTGGTCCATTCGAAATCTATTTTAAATAGACTGTCTATTTGTCCGGCTACGTATAATGAGATATATATTTCAGTACGTATGTCACATACTTCATCAGGAACTCTCCAGATAATTAAATGTTTGCAGGATCACATACGGCACCTAAGCAAAACAGATAAAACATTCGATGTCACTTTTGTCTTTGGAACCTTAATTTTAGTGTAGAATTACACAGTTTATAACCTGAAAACTTTCAATAAAAATATTTCAATATTAATTGATGTTTGGTTTACTTGCGAATACTATTACACAAAACTTGGCATGCTAAACACTGGATATCTGTGATTTTTGATGGACAGTAACAGCTAGATGTGTTTCATACTTTGATTGTATAAGAATGTAAGAATAGACGCGAAATTTTTACAGTAATCAAATTTTGAATACTTAAAAGCCACAAGTTCAGTGAAATAGATCATGACAGTTTGTAATTTAATTACTTATCAAATCCACATTGAAGTGTTTTTCCACGATCTTCTGCCAACTTGTAACATTCTTCCACCACTCTTGGATTAAGGTCAATTGGTTTCTCACAGAATACATGTTTTCCTGTTAAATTCCACCAATATTAAACCATGAAATGAAACACTCATTCAATATTTGAATATGACCTTTGCATTTTCATAATTACAATAAGAAAAAAATTAATACATTTGTTTCATATATTGTGTTTTCTAAGATTGATTTATGTTGCTATATATTTATTTATTACCGTCGCCATGGAGAAGGTCTTATAAGTTGAACGATGGACAGTCTTCGGACTTAATGCTTTCTTGCTACCTCAGTCCTGATTGGAAGATATATTACTGACTCTTTCATAGTAAAATGATCAATCATGCATATCGGTACACAGGAACATTATTCTATAAATAGACGAAACTCCTGCAATTTTGTAATGTATAAAAACGCACAAGTGTTCATTCCACATTTTATCCAGTGGGTCATTGTTATGAATGTTAAGAGTCATATATTATAGTTGAAACGTATATGAAAGCTTAGGGACACACCGCGCATGCTTTTTTCCCTCGGTTATACACATTGATACTTAGTAAGATAATCCGAATTGAAAAACGAATATAACCAAATCAATTAATTTCGATTAATATTGATAAATACGGAAACAATTTGCGCTGGGCTAGGCGATGCTTATTTCTTACCGTGACAAGATAGCAGAATGTGAAGAACATATAAGACGAGGGGATAATAATAAGAAGAAAAAACGACTATAAGACTATAAAAGCGATTATTTGTGCATGTTAATATATTTTAATTTCTAAATATAATTTAAAGTAGATGTGAAGTATACATAGATAATTAAGACAGGCAACCAAATTAATCGACACATTAAACTCCTATTTCAACGTGTTTTTCAACAAACAATCGGCATTCCCATGGAAAACAACTATGTCCCTCTTCTTGCCGACTTGTTCCTTTATTCATATGAGACTGACTTCATACAGGAACTTCTTAGGAAGAAAGAAAAGAAGTTAGCAGTATCCTTTAACTTTACTTTCCGCTATAAAGATGATGGTCTCTCACTAAATAATTAAAAATTTGGTGACTATGTTGAACGCATCTATCCCATCGAAATTGAGATAAAGGATACAACAGATACAGTTAATTCTGCCTCATATCTTAACTTACATCTAGAAAACTTTACGACAAAAGAGATGATTTCAGCTTCCCAATTGTGAACTTTCCATTTCTATGTAGCAATATTCCAGCAGCGCCTGCATACGGAGTATATATCTCCCAGTTGATACGATATTTCAGGGCTTATATTTCCCATCATGATTTCCTCGATAAAAGGTTGCTGCTCACAAGGAAGCTATTTAACCAAGAATTCCAAGTGGTGAAGTTGAAATCCTCCCTTCGTAAATTTTACGGACGCCATCACGAGTTGATTGACCGTTATGGAATATTCGTTTCATAGATGATAGCGGATATGTTCCAAAACTACAATCCGGTCCCATTTTCCCCGAATGTGACCTACCGAATTAGACTTATTACCGGATTTGTACTAACATGAGCAGCACGACGGGTGCCACATGTGGAGCAGGATCTGAACAGTCAGAAACAAACGTCTTATACTTGTTTTTGAGATTTATTGACTATTTATACTAAATATGCTATAAGAAAAAAAAGAGAGAAAATAGATAAACAAAGACGATAATACTGTTGGCATTGGATTTTTTGAAAATGGATGAGGAATTTAAAATCATGTATACACATACAAACACTATGATGATAAAACAGAAAGACATCTACATGTCAACATATAAACACTCTCCCACAAAATGATATGTTAATTCAGCATGTTTAGCTTTGAAGGGTAAGTACGAAAAAGGCCTTATTTTTCCCTCAATCTGGATCAAGTCCATCATGCGACAAAGTGAAATAGAACGAATTTCGTCGAACGCTTCGAAAGTTACGTTAGAATGTATACCCGAAAAGGCATCAAACACAGACTTTGATGCAATTTTCCAAATCTTATGGATTTCAACGAAATTTAGGCTTGAACGGTATAACGTGCTGTATTCGACAAACTCACTATTTTAGTCAGATGCTTTATTTATTATATCATGTATTATAAGCATAATGTTGCAAGATCTTTTTGTCGACGTGTGCGCTAGCACTGTTTCCGGTTCTTAAAACGAATGGAATTCGCGGCCTGTTTTTTTGGTGTTTGCTGGAAATTGATGCTAACTGTGTCGTCAAAGAATGACATCTAATCTAGTTATTGTTTTTAAAGTGTTTCATCGTTATAACAGCCATCAATCAAAATTTTAATTTTAAGCTCGATATACTAGTAATATTTTGGCCTTGCCCAACTTACTCTTTTTCTTATAGCCTTAAAAAGTTGATGAGTTGATTTATCGGGACTAGCGTGACCAAGGACCAATACATTAAGTTTACTATAGGTCAATGCCTAAGTTAAGTTTTTCTAGATCTCAACACTTATTGTTTTAATTAGTTTTGAATCACAAAAGGCAGATAAAAGATTGTTCAATATAAGTTTTAATGATCATTTTGAAAAGATGTGAGTAATATTTTTGTCTTCTTTTTTAAAATGTTTAAATTTTACTACGTTTCACACTCTATACTTTTTTCGAGAATTATTATGAATGCAACAGAAACAGGCGGAAGTGGCCATACTTTTCTAACACAAAGAAATAAACAACCAATATAGGAAGAACTAAATGGATAACAATTTTTTTTGAAAAAAAACTAACCAATAAACAGATACAAACGCAGATGATTGTGTAAGTATCCCATCTTTTTTCGGTGATATATAAATACCTTAATGTTATATTAAGGTATATATGGAAAAAAGTCAGAGACAAGTGCCTGCGATTCCCCACAAAAAAGAAAAAGGAAAACTTGTATTTGCCGTTTATTTTTTTTTAATTCACTATACAATGCTATTCTGCATGAACAAAAAAACATTTTTCAAATTTCATCAGCTATGAGACGGCTAGCTTTTTAGAAAAGCTATTACTTGTCATATAGATAGTTTTTGCATATGTGAAACGAGCGGAAGTAAACTAGCCATAAATTTACACCCAGGTTTATGTGACGTCACATGGTCAGGCTGATATGGGGTTACCAACTTGGGTGCGTTCGTACATATATGACAAAAAGAATAATACATGACTTTTTTTCCATATCGGCCCGGGTATCATCCCTCGACTAATGTCTCAGACTGATATCGGGGTCTCGGGATGATACCCGATCCAATCTGGAAAAGGCCATGTATCAATCTGTATTAATATATAATATTTTGCCAAGCAGAAAAAAAGACATCCATCATGTTTTCGGGTATTTTACAAGATACTTTGCAATGACAAAAAGAAATTCACCATTAAGCACAAGTTTTGGTTGTTTTTTCGTTTTGTCTCTGCTTTCTATTTGGTAGTTTTGATGGTCTAGGGGTAAAAAGAAAACAAAGCAACACGCAAAAAATATTTCAGAAAATCTTCTGACTATCAAGAACTATGATTTTTAAGTAGATACTTATATTTATTCAAGATAAAAGGCATGAATTTGACAGACACAAATAAATTAAAATGAACTTTAGTCGTGTATAAATTTATGTCTTAAATCATTATTTGGTAAAATTAAAGTTTATTGGTATAATTATTTAACAACAATGATGGTAATACTAAAAAATATGAACAAACTGTGGTTAGTTATTATCGTGACTGGCAGGTAGGTTTTGAAAATTTACAAATATACATGGCCTTAAGTTTACAAACCTGCCTGTAAAGCGAATTTTACTAAGTCGCTTTTCTTGTGTGGTTTTCCGAACACAGGAGAGCAGATTAAAACTGCATCTAATCTAGAAAAGGTAAAATAAAATTGTCAAAAGTTATAATAAACATTACATACATATATACTATTGAAAATCTACGGAAGCCGGTTAGTTTTATTTTTAAGTCGTTATAACGACTTAGCTAACTTGTTATAACAACTTAGTTTATCTAACTCGTTATTACAACTTAGCTAGCTCGTTATAACGACTTAGCTAACTCGTTTAAACAACTTAGCTAACTCGTTTAAACAACTTAGCTAACTCGTTAAAACGACTTAGATAACTCGTTATAACGACTTAGCTTTTCTAACTCGTTATAACAACTTAGCTAACTTGTTCTAACGACTTAGCTAACTCGCTTTATCCTGCAATCAGCCAACTATTGTACAAATAACAGGTACACAAATAAATTTTGCTTTATTTGTACTTGTACAAATAAAGTGTACTGTTACCCCTCTTCCATGTTGAGCAAGCGGTAATGTGGATATTTTGTTTTGCGTACCAGTTCATTTTGGGGTCCCCTTCGCGGTCCGCCTCGGCGAGTCTCGCTTTTCGTCCTGTTTCTAAAGCTCATACAAATAAATTTTATATTTTCCGACAATGTACATATATTGTATATTTATTTGACTATAAGTGATTGAATCCAGTTTGACGTTTTATATATTTCGAGTAAACGCTTAAGGGACTTGCTAAATATACACACAATAAATATTAACTAATGTATTGGTAATCAACTACAGAAAAGCTATGATGAAAATGACAGTCCTAATTGTTACCTACCAGCATTACTATTCTAATAACTGCCGTTTTGAGCCTTAATACAAATATGTATAATGCAAAATTCACAAAAGAATTTTCGATGTCTGCATGATAGACTCATTAATGTCTTGTGAACATTCTAAAATGATTTTATAATACCGTTTTCGATTTTCGAATTTAAGAGGCCAAAAGAAAATAGGCCCCATCATACCATCTTCTTTTGTAACTCATTGTTGCTTACATCTGCTTACAAAACTTAACTTTTTCGTATCGTATCAAGAGAATAAGAATAAAAATATTAAATTTCCAATTAAAGGGCCCTATAAAGAGCTTTTATCACATTACATACAAATACATAAGATTAGACATAAATTGAGAAACATAAAAGAAAACAACATAGTTTTACAATCATAACTATTATATAAGGCCAGGACAGAACCAGATAATCATTGACAAATAACATCTATAAAATATACCACTCAAAATAAGTATACGTGTGGCTAATTTGCATTTACAATCTTTGAACTTCTTCTTATCTCCAGATTTTTAGATAAATACTTTCCCAAACATTAATATACATCTAAATTTTCTTGTATTAATAGCCATGTAAACTTCGAAAGATTGTCTAAAGATTGAAAACTATTGCAGGTTAATGAAATTTCAGTAAAAATCTCGGTTCTATTATCAACATATAGAGGGCATTCAATCACAAAGTGTATCTCATCCTCAACTTTATTCAGTATAAACATTTTCTAAGTGTTCTAGTCACATAAATTTTATCATATCTATCAGTCTCAATCCTTAATGGATGAGCGCTTATTCTAATCTTACAGATTGATTGCCTTAATCTAAAATATTTTAGATCCAAATATTTTTCAAAACAAAATAGAGTTTTAAAGGAAAAATAAGTATTAAGTTTGCCTTGATCTGATTGTAATATTTTATTTCTATTTTCCTTCCATATATGGAGTTTTTATATAGCTTATCTTTGATAAATTTTGTGAAAGAGTAGATACTGGTTTTTAAGTTACATGTGTGTATACTCAGCTTTTTAATAATACAATCTATGCTTGAGAACCATGTATTGACTTTATTGTGAAGTTCTTTACTACATATATATGCATCATATAATAACATGTTCTCAGAATTATCTAGTCGATGATAATAATGACTATAATGATAAAATACTTTTTCTAAAATATATTGATCATTTTTCTTACATGCAGCTGAGTTAACTGAAAATATACCCCAAACTTCACATCCATAGGTTAAAATTGGCTTTACAGTATGGTCATATAAATAAAGTACAGTTGAAACACTAGGGTCACAGTCGAAATGACATACATCGTTGTAATTCAAAACATGCTTTTATAGACTTCTTGTACAGTTCATCTTTACATTGAAAAAAATTTCCACTGGGTTTAAATGTGATGCCCAAATATTTATAATTATATGTACAACCAATAGCTTTCTCACCTAGGTAAAGAGGAAGATTAAAATGTCTCCCTGCTTTATTAAAAATCATAACTTTTGTCTTGTTCTCATTTACATTTAAACACCATTTAGAACAGTAATTATTAAGCATAGTTAAGCTCTCTTGCAATCTCTCTGATGAATTTGAGAGAATAACAATGTCATCAGCATACATTAAACAATCAACCCTTTGGTTATTAACACTTACATGGTTAGCACAAGAAGAGAAAACATCAGGGAGATCATTAATAAAAAAATTGAATAAATTGGGGCTTAAAACATCCCCTTGCCACGCTCCAATAAATGATCTAAACAATGGAGTTGATTGGTCGCCAATTTTGACCAATAGCTTACTTTTATTATACATATCTTTAACTATAGCATAAAACTGTCCTGCTATGTTGCGTTGAAGTAGTTTATATTGTATACCTGTATGAATAACAGAGTCGAATGCTAATAGTTTACCATTTTTGTTACTAATACACTTGTCAATTAATGTCTTAAGAACAAACATATGATCGGGTGTTCTTGATTTTTTTGTAAATCCAATTTGACATTTACTTATGATATCATTCTCTTCAAGAAAGTGGTATTATTAGTAACATAGTGTGCTAGTGACCTAATACGATATATATGGGGTCAGTAAATTCCATATGAGGTGAAAGCGAAGCTCGAATCCCCATATCGATTTTACTGACCCCATATATAACGTATTAGGTCACTAGCACACTGTGTAACGAATTTATCTTACCGAATATCTTAACATGTGGTATTTACTAGCAGGGGCGTAGCTAGGTATCCAATAAACTGTAGGCACCTAATATGAAATGTACTCGGTCTTCACGCGGTTGCTTTTAACCAATCATATTCCTAGAAATGTATAGGAGGTAAGATAAAGTCTATTATCTAGAACGCAATTAAATAATTTACCTATGCAGGAGTTAATAGCAATACCTCTATAATTTTCTGGTTTTCACGGATTTCCAGATTTAAAAACCTGTAGAAAATACAATATTATACAGTTTTTGTAACAATGGAACTAATACTGATGAACCTGCCTTTGACATCTCTGCAGGAAAACCATCTAAACCTGATACTTTTCCATTTTTAAGTTAGCTCACAGAATTTGAAATTTCGTTACTTGAGATTCTAAAATCTAATTCACAAAACTGTTTTACTTTCTCCAATTTTCTACCTCAGACTTTATTTCATGTATTCTATTACTATGGGATTCTGATGACTTATTATGCTCTGAAAAATATTCATGCCACTCCCCTGGCTTGGCTGAATCTAGAGTATTATCATTTCTAGATTCTTTAAGTGAATTTATGAGTTTCCAATATTTCTTGGGATCATAATCCCTTAACTGATCTAGCTGATGTAAAACTTGTTGCTTAAAATGTCTTTTTTTTTATATATCTTCGCAATTTGGTGTATTCTCTGTAACATTTAAAATATGATCCTCTTTTCATTAGATTAAAAGGATATTTAGAATTTAATGCTCCTTAATTTATCAATCAAAACAGTTCTTTTCCTCTTTAAATCTGAATCGAAATATTTACATTTTTTGGTCTTTTTTTAATTTTTATACTTTTTTTTAAGAATACAAGCCGTTTGAAGCAGCTGTTTTTAGTATATCAGCAAATTGGGTGGCCGCTTTTTCAGAATCAAAATCTTGTTTTAGAAAATCATATATTTTAGCCTTACAAAGTGGTTGACATAGAGCATCTCTAAATTTTATTGGTGAGGAATTACTCCAAATGTATCCTCCTGTCAAATCAGTCATATGTATATTACATTTCAACGAATTCTTAATATAAGCTGCCATAATATTGAATGAAAGTTTACAATGACAGTCAGAAAAAGTTGGTATCAAATCTGAAACCTCAAAACTAAGAACATTCTGAAACTATTACATAATCGACTACACTAGTATGGCAAGTGAATTTACCAAATATTATCATATTAGTTGAAATACAAAACTCTGTTAGTTGTTTACCTCTGGTATCAATTTTCTAATCATAACTTTTTCTGATATCTTGTACAATGTCATGTTCATAAGTATTACATAATGGTGTGTGGCTATCATATATATCATTTACTATAAAATCTGGTTCTGCACCTTGGCATTTAAATCACCACAGAGTATATATATAATGTTTCCTTTCATTTGGTTTTTATTAATAATATTTCTTTCAATTAAATATAATACGTCATCATCAGTTTCATATAAATAACTAGAGGTACTTGGTATAATATACGCTAAACAGAGGTAAATATCTTTCGCAAAGTTAAAAACATCTTTATCTAATATGATCCATTGATAGTACTTGCAAGCGTTTTCTAAATTTTTCACCCCTTTTCGAATATTGTTATTGATAAGTATGCCAAATTAAGTCCCCTATAAAATCTCTGATTTGATGACTGAAATCTACATACAGGAAAATACCTATTACCTTCAATATCGACAGATGTATTGTATCCAATGTGAGTTTCACATAAAAGTATAATATCATAACTGTTTACTTGATTGAAAAGTTGTGATCTTGAAGCTTATTATATGTTTTTGAATTAAGCCATCCAACATTCCAAACGCAAAAAGTCATGTTATGAATACTTAAATCATTTCTTCTGGGCATTGTATCAAAATCTATAGAGTTAAACTGAGTCTGAGTATGATATTCAACATAATAATGACATGCATGTATATATTCTAAAAAATAATTCCAACTTACAATTTATCGCTAAGCATGTCAGTGACTTCTTCCGTATTGATAATTTTTACATTTTGCAAACCATACTGCTTCACCAAATCTCTGATTTTGCCATGCATCTGTTCAATATCCACTAAATACATCACATTTACCTGTCCACTCTGGACAAGGTGACATAGATGTACCTCTCCAATGCGACCAATACCTATTACTCCTATATTTTTATGTTCCATTACTTCCAGACTACACGACAATTGAGACCAGATCACCATAAAAACAACGATTATTGAATAGCCATTTGAATATTTAAACTTTTTTTCAATACTTATTAATACTTTTATTAGTATAACAAAGTGTGCCCAAGTTAAGTGATGTTTTTGTCATGCGTGTCCTATGAAGGTAGATAAGACAGTTAATCATATGGCTTATAACATAATACACATTGCACACTGAGAGTGTGTCGTCCTGATCGACAAGTCAATAGTGACCATGCACAGGCACTTATCTCTGAAAAAATACCTGCATTCTTTAACACGTGTTATATTAAAGTATATATGAAATTTTTTTCAGAGACAAGTGCCTGCGTTACCAAGATGCAAGTAAAATCTAAAGTCTCAAAAAAGACAGACAGCACCATATGATCAAAATCAAAAGTATGACAAATAAAAACAACAGCTCACAAATCATTCCAAAAGAAATAATAAAGCAATACTAGTCACAACCGTGGATTAACTCAAGGTTAACAGGTTTCAGTTTAACCCCACTGGTGGCTACTATTATTTAGGATATTTAGAGAAAAATTTAACTTGTTATTTGTGGATGCATTTGTTGTCATTAATGCTGATTAAACATTGGGAATACAAAATGACTCTAAAGCTAATAGATAAAATTGACCTTCACTTTTGTTCTGAAATATTGAACTTATTTTCGGCACCGACCAATCTCATTTTCACCTGGAATAAAAAATTTTCGACTTTAATTAAAAACAATATTTTATTTAATAACAGGAACACAATTTACTTTATTTAAACTCGATGTTGACTTAATTTTTCTTTCTCGTAGGTTTCAGTAGAAACAATATATTTGTCCACTTCCCTTTTGAAACATTTTGTTTTCTTTCAAAAAATTTATAACCAAAGAATTTATCAACAAAAAACCCTCCCCACAAATGGTGCCTTTCTTGGAAATCTTTTTGCGTTTTACCCATGTAGAGTTTGCCTTTTTGAGCGGATTCATAATATTTAGTTTTGTTTTACATATATTCGTAAATTTAAACCTTTTAAATTGCTATAATGTGAAATCATAGTATGAGCAATTGTTTTATCTTAGGTTTTGGAATTTGTCAAGAGAGGTCCTTGACTATTAGTAATAGTACTTCATCATTCATCTGAGATGATGCACTATAATGATATACAGAAATTAATCTTCTCGGCCAAATATAGTGTATACAATTAAAAATTCCTGTCGAAAAAAGAAAATCTGCAGCTGATGTGCAGTACACAACTTTGACAGATAAAGAGGGGGTCCCGCGTGTTGGATCAGATATTGTCAGTCACAGATTTTTTTAGACCGGTTCCCTTGGAAAAGATGAAACGGAGAAAAGATTCTTTTTAAAACTTTCCTTTGCCAACAAAGATGTCGATTTCATCAACTTAGGCATATCCTTCATAGTAAATCAGTTTAATCGAAAATAGCTTCCTACTTTAAAAAAATCTGTCTGTACCTATTATCTCTTATGCATATACCATACCAATTGCGACTTAAGTTTTCAATTACATAAACGTGTTGCAGGATCTCAATATTGACAACTTCAAGTCTGAACCTCCTGACTGCACCCATGTTTGTTCCCAATTCATATATAATCCGGCTGGGCAAATTATTACTGGTAATCAGACGATTGTCAATAACACTTCTCTGCAAAATTTGTTATTCAAAGATCCGAAAGTTCGTGAGCCTTAATCCATCAATTGGAAACATAACTTCAAAATACTGGTGGATTAAATTGATGATTATGCCAGGTAATATGTTAAACGCCAAAAAGAAGGCATAGATACTCTTTCCGAATTGGCGTAAGCAGTGAGGTTGTTAATACAAATTAGAATTAAAAAACTGAATAGGTCTATGAATACACATGCTACATCTATATTTAAAAACCCAAATGTTGCTTAGCACCTGTCCTACTTCCATGACAAATATGTTATCGTCCCCACAAATAAAGCTACGAACAACATAGTGTTTTGTGTATATCACATTACATCAACTGCTTGATAAAAGAATTAGGTATTGGCAATGTACTTGGAAACTCGACATAACCTCCAAGACACAATCTGGAATAATCACAGGTCTGTTCAATGTTCCTATAGACTTTCAATCAAAGATAAAGAACTGGATCTTCCTACATTTTATTGGTTACCTAAATTACATTAGAATCCTTACAAACAATGTTATATAGCTGGGTCTTCCGAGTGCGCCAAGAAACCTCTTTCTAAACTAGTAACACCAATTTTATCAGCAATCAAAACCAGGCTTCAGAGTTATTGGGAAAATACCTACTCTAGGGGAGATGTAAATCAGATGTGGATACTTAAAAATTCCAAATGTATGTTAGAGTACATACACTCTAAGTCTCTTGCAATAGTATTGAAACATCTGGCTTTCTACTCTTTACACAAGTGTTCCCCATTCCAGTCTTATAGACAAACTGAAAGAATTGGTCTTACCTTGTTTTCTTAAAAAAAAGAATGGCCAACGTAGATACAAAATATATTGTTAAAGGGAAGGAAAAATCATTCTTTGTTGAAAAAAAACACTCTGATTCAAATCAAAACTGATCTGAAACAGACATTATCAATTTTTTTGATTTTGTGATTGACAACATATTTATTCCGTCTGGAGGCCATGTTTTCAACAAACAATCGGCATTTCAATGGGAACCAAATATGCTCCTCTTCTTACCGACTTGTTCCTTTATCCATATGAGGCAGATTTCAAACAGCAGCTTCTTAGGAAGAATGAATAGAAGTAAGCAATAGTTAATTATGCCTCATATCTTGACTTACATCTAGAAAGTGACAACGAGGGTAGATTGAGAACAAAACTTTAAGACAAAAGAGATCGTTCCATCTTCCCACTTGTGAACTGTCCATTTCCATGTAGCAACATTCCAGCAGCGCCTGCATATGGGGAATATACCTCCCAGTTGATACGATATCCCAGAGCTTGCATTTCCTATCATGATTTCCTTAATAGATGTTTGCTGCTTACAAGAGAGCTTTTAAACAAAGGGTTCCAAGTGGTGAAGTTGAAGTTATCCCTTCGAAAATTTTGTTGACCGTTATTGAATCTTAGTATCGGTTTCACAGATGACGACAGATATCTTCCGATTGTCGTAACATGATCCCAGTATCTTTTCCTCGTATGTATCATCACTGAATTAGACTTATCACCGAATAGTACTTACATAAGCAACATGACGCGTGTCAATGTAGAGCAGAATCTGCTTACCATTATGGAGCACCTGAGATCACCCTCTTTTTGGTGGGGTTCGTGTTGTGTGACTTGTGAGTTTGAATATCCTTTTGGTATCTTCAGCCACTCTTTTGGATCTCTATTCTTCGGCCTGATTTTTTTTAACCACGTAAAAGTCGAAGGAACAACACAAAATCTCCCCGTTTTAAAATTTCTGGGCACGCTAGCACAATCAATACACGGAAAATACAGATAAATTCGTGTAACATATCTGTATATCTAGACAAACGTAAAACAAATTAAATTTTGGTTATGTTTTTAAAGTTCTGCGGTAAATACAACGATGGTATACAATATTTCATGATTGACTTGACCATAAAAATACAGAAGTCACATTCATATCCCACTTTCTGAATCGCTGTTTGTAGCAGTGGCGTAGTCCGTCCGTCCGTTCGTCCGTTCGACCCACTTTATATCCACAACTGCTACTCAACCGTTTGTTATATTTGTGCGATATCTTCACAGAATTTTACTTACATGATACTCTTTTTCACCTCGTATTTCATTTCTTCTCTCGATTATTTTGGGGGGTTAACTTTTGGCATGACATGAACGTTGTCACTATGTATACTACAGTATACATTTGTATCCGCTTCTTCTAAACTCCTGCTCAGAATTTAATGAAAATTTCTCAGAATATTCATCATGCAATACCATTTTGCACCCCCTATTTTGTTTCTGATCCGGACTTTGCCATTGCTGTTTCAGGGGAGTGTACCTATTATTCAACCATGAACTCCTAGTTACCCCTTATTAGAATTTATTGAAACCTTCTCAGAATATTAACCATATAATACCATTCTGAAGTTCAAATCTTATTGTTTATGCTATAACTTTCTATCTGCTATTAAATCATTCTTCTTCTTCTGAATCAGTATTTTTTTTATATCCGACAACTCTGGTGCTGATTTGCCTAATCGTAAGACTTGGAAACCGAGTCACACTGGATGGTGATGTGTTCTAGAATGTGTTCTGGAAGGCTGTTTGTGATCTAATAGGACATCATGATTCTATTTCTCGCTCATCGGTGTACGTCCTCATTGATTTCAGAGTAATTGATGAAGCATAAAAGTGACGTACTGAGGTGTATTCTGATAATGACCGGACTAAGGTGGTATATAACTGTAATTTTACTTCTTGTTGGACAGTTCCTGAGGTTACGTCTCAAGAAATCCACTGCACTGGAAGCCTTGTTTGTTGTCTGAGCGATGCGATCTCGCTATGATATGATAAATCCTGGCTTATTTGTTTGTCAACCGGACCTATCTCTAATGTGTGGCCGTGAAGTCAATATTCGGTATCGATTGTATACCTTTCAAAGTGTACGCTATGTGGAGAATAGTAGATTTTTCAGGCCATCATGGAAAGTCGTACTTTTTTCCACTTTTCTTATGTATTCAAATCGTCTTGTAATGCCTTAATTAGCGTCGTTTGTGGTTTGTATGTTCTTGTATATCACGCAGTCTTTAGAAAACAGTTGGACAGAGGAGCCCACTGCTATTCCGGAATTGCGCTTATCTCGGAATTCAGAGATAGTTGGAGGGATGTGTCTACTAAGTCAGAATTGCGCTTATCCTGAAACAATGATTTTGTATTATCGACAAAATGATATCAAACAAATAAATTGAATTATATCGATGTATTATTCTTTACTATGCACCATCCTTAATATATCTTAGAGCTTCATGTTTCTGGCATTATTGTTTTTTATTTGTTTTGTTTTTGTTTTTTGGGAAAAACATGGGGCGGGGGTTATCCGGTCATAAGTTATAGGTCACCGTACGGCCTTCAATAATGAGAAAATCCCGTATCGTTATTCGTATAATCAGCTCAGTTAAATAGTCCCGACATGAAA